TGGCTTAAATATAAGTTGAGATTCTTTTGATTTCTTTCATAAGTGGCATTTTCCCTTAAAATGCTGCATATTAAACAGATAGATGTCTTATGTTGAAAGGGAATGATCCATGTTGGAATGTAAATGTTTTCATTTAAAAGTACCGTATATACTCATTCATAAGCCGATTTTTTTTAGTAAAAAAGGGAAGCACCAGAGAAGGGGGTTGGCTTATGAATGGGTATAGAGAGGGAGAGGTGGGACACAGCCCCTCCCCTCAACAGAGGGAGCAAGGAGAGGCAGCACAGCCAGAAAGGAAGAGGTGGGGCCACGCTGCTCTCCCCCCAGCCTCCAAAGCAGCTGCAGCTCCGGGGCTGGCAGGCTGCAGCCGTGCCACTCGGCCCCGCCCCCCAGAGCAGGCTGTGGCCACGCCGCCCAGCCCGCCGGAACACGCTGCGGCCATGCCGCCCGGCCCAGGCCTCTGAAACATGCTGTGGGTGCGCCGCCCAGTCTGGCCTGCCGAAGCAGCTCCAGCCAGGCCAGAGGCATCCTCCCCAGATAAGGTGGTAAGGGATGGGATGGGGAGAGTGTGGCTAGGGGTGGGGTCATGTGAGGGGTGGGGTCATGTGAGGGGTTACTCCCCTGAGCTCCAGCTTCTCCCACCACCAAAACATTTCCCCACCAGTTGTTGTCCCGGCCCGTCAGGGTAAGCAGCTAGCGTGCCGGGACACTTTGTTTGCTTAGGTTTACCTCCGTGCCTGCAGACGCTCGAGGCAAACAAACCATCTTGGCCTACCAGCAGCTTATCCTGATGGCCCAGGAGCCAAAGTTTGCTGACCCCTGAATTATAGGGTCGGCTTATGAGCGGGTTATAAAAATTTTCCATTTTTACTTATCCATCTTGGGGGGGGGGCGGCGGGGGTCAGCTTATAAATGAACCGGCTTATGATAGAGTATATACGGTAATTATTTTCTGTGTATCTATGCTATTCATAAATTAGAATGGTAGAATTTTCTTAATGGCTGGCTTAATATATTTATGATTACTCAAAGAATAAAAGTGAAAGTTCGCTTACCCATAGCAATAGTGGTACCATAATTATGGATAGGGTTTTCCTTCCATTGTTCCCTTTTTAAATGGCCCTGAAGATGAGGAGGAGGAGGAAGAGGTTTCCTTGAGGAAAATTTTGCAAGTGGGATTTACTTTTATTGGCGGAGAAAATGCAACTATATGAATATTCTATGGAGATATTAAATCATCTTGAATCGATGAATCTTGCACTCTCCTGAGGCAAAAATTATAGTGGAATTTATCACACTTGCTTATTCAGCTGTTTACTACAGAGCTCTTGGAAAGACAATTTTGGCCATCCACGGCCTGAGAAGTTACTTTATCTTCAGTAATCATAGAACACTTGTATTTTAAGTCCAGACAGTTTTTCTGAGGTCTCAGAACTCTGTATTTTTTAATATCTATGCCTGATGATTCTTTCCAGTTTGTCTGCATAGCCCAACAAGATTACTGCCGCATCCTCAATCAAGTAGAAAAAAACATGCAGAAGGTAGAAGAGGAGGGGGAGATTGTTATGGTGAAGGAGCACAGGGAGCTTGATCGCACTGGAACAAGAAAGGGTCACATTGTCATCAAGGTAAAAAAAAAAAAAAAAAAACAACAACAAGCTTTTTAGATTTATAAAAGAAGTACAAGGGGCTTGAAAAAAAAAAAAAAAAAAAAGGATAAAATTTAAAAAAAAAAAAAAAAAAAAAAAAACAACTACAACCAGATGCTTTGTAGATTTGTATGAGCTCTTCCTTGGTGACCCAAGTCCAGAATTAGTTCAGCCATATATCTGAAATACAAGCTTTCCAAAGATTCTTAAATAAAAGAGCTAAAAAGCTATTCAAAATTAAACACAAAAAAATTGCTGTTGTTTCAGGGTTCTTTGATTGTTTTAATTTAGTAAAGTTTATCAATCTCTTTATTGCAATGGTCAAGCTATTTTTTATTGTTTAACACATTGGTGACTAGATAGGCTTAATGATACTATTACATTTAGTGTACCATCAAGATGTAAGATGAAAATAAAAAAGCATTCATGCTAGTTAATAATTAAGCTTTTATTTGTTATAGGGAACATCAGAAAGGTTAACAATGCATTTGGTGGAAGAGCACTCAGTGGTGGATCCAACATTTATAGAAGATTTCCTTTTGACCTACAGGACCTTTCTTTCCAGCCCAATGGAAGTGGGCAAGAAATTGTTGGAGTGGTTCAATGACCCTAGCCTCAGGGATAAGGTTGAAAAAATGACTACTTAAAACTTACGATTGTGAACTCACGTGTATTTAAATACAAATTATTAAGATATAAATAAAAATTACAAAAATATTTGTAGCTTTAAACCAGAATAACTAGATTTGGTCGAACAACCAGCTAATAGTATATGAGGAAATGTTGGTTGTAGAAAATGTATGCTAAATCAGGCGAATAGTTATTAAAAAAGTGTAAGGCACTACCGTTAAACACTAACTGGGGAGCGTGGGAGGTATTTTATCACTCATGTACCCATACTTCAGTCAACTCTGTATATTAAATAATTGGTTGTAGAAGTATCAATCCTCTTTTTAAAATCCTCAGTATTTCAGTAGACTATAGTCATAGACTCATAGAAGATTAGGGTTGGAAGAGACCTCAGGAGGTCATCTAGTCCAACCCCCTGCTCAAAGCGGGACCAGCACCAACTAAATCATCCCAGCCATGGCTTTGTCAAGCCGGGCCTTAAAAACTTCTAAGGACACCTCCCTAGGTAGCCCATTCCAGTGCTTCACCACCCTCCTACTGAAATAGTCTTTCCTAATATTCAACCTAGACCTCCCCCACTGCAACTTGAGACCGTTGTTCCTTGTTCTGTCATCTGCCACCACTGAGAACAGCCAAGCTCCATCCTCTTTGGAACCCCCCTTCCGGTAGTTGAAGGCTGCTATCAAATCCCCCCCTCACTCTTCTCTTCTGCAGACTAAACAAGCCCAGTTCCCTCAGCCTCGCCTCGTAAGTCATGTGCCCCAGCCCCCTGATCACTTTCGCTGCCCTCTGCTGGACTCTCTCCATTTGTCCACATCCTTTCTGTAGTGGGTCCCAAAACTGGACACAGTACTCCAGATGTGGCCTCACCAGTGCTGAATACAGGTGAATATTCACTTCCCTCGATCTGCTGCAATGCTCCTACTAGTGCAGCCCAATATGCCGTTAGCCTTCTTGGCAACAAGGGCACACTGCTAACTCATATCCAGCTTCTCATCCACTGTAATCCCCAGGTCCCCAGCCTATAGCGGTGCATGGGATTCTTCCGTCCTAAGAGCAGAACTCTGCACTTGTCCTTGTTGAACCTCATCAGATTTCTTTTGGCCCAATCCTCCAATTTGTCTAAGTCACCCTGGACCCTATCCCTACCCTCCAGCATATCTACCTCTCCCTCCAGCTTAGTGTCATCCGCGAACTTGCTAAGGGTACAATCTATCCCATTGTCCAGGTCATTAATAAAGATGTTGAAGAAAACCGGCCCCAGGACCGACCCCCAACTATATTGGGGGCAGTCCAATATAGTTCTGTGGTAACTTAGGGCCTAAATCTATGGCAGGAAATATTTCCTTGTTTTCTGTGCACAATAATGGTTTAATGCAATTTGGCAAACGCTTTTTTCTAACAATTTTCTTAAATATAAATAAAAGCAGAAAGACACCAGGCTTGATTCTCCCTTCACTTCACATGGTGAAAATTGGGGTAGCTCCATTGAAATCAAGAGTATAAAGTTGGAGAATCAGGTCCACCATATCCAATTATATATGGGGCAGATAACACTGTTTACAGTTAAGTTTGCCCAGCACTTCACTTTATAAAATCCTGTTTTCAGTTGCTTATAATTTTGCCAAACTTTAACTGTTTGGGTCAAATTGCGTATGCCAGATATTTACCTCAGGCTGGGTTTTTTTTTTTTTTTTTTTTTTTTTTTAGGGGAGGTTGCGGGGGTAAGTGGGGGAGGAAGAATTTCAACTAAAACAGTTCAGTTGTTTCTGTAAATGAGGTTAGAGAAAATACATTGTTTGCCCATGTTAAAAAATTAGGATGAACTTTTCTTTAAGCAGGTCTAGTCGTCCGTTCTCCCCCCCACACACACCCCTCCCCCCCGCACAACTTTAGATCAGGGACTTGAAATTTGCCATGAAATTTGGTCGTCCTTCATGTGAGGGATGTGGCTTTTGCTGTCCCATGAAAATCCACCCCAGAATTTTAGTATGATTTGCTCAAGCTCCAATGCCACATTCCCAGAAGATTCCCTTTGCACTGAGTGAGCTCCAGGCCAGGGCTGAGCAGGACTTTTTCTGCAGTTGGCACCAGAATTGAAAACAATGAACCCATCTCTTCTGGGTGCTCAGTAACTACCACCTACTGAAGCCCAGAGAGTGTGGAGGAGGAAGGTTCTCTATTCAAATGCAGAGGGGGCAAGAGCCAGACCTGGAGGGAGAGGAGCAAAGGTGAGTAGATTAGGACAGGGACACCTGGGAGTTAGGGCAGACTGAGCCTGGACACATGACGAGAGGAGATGGAAAATGGAACTGGGAATTGGGCTAAGGAGACTGGGACTGTGAGCCAGTTGGGGAGAGAGGTACAAGGGGGGTGAATTAAGGTTGCACAAAAAAATTTTTGGTAACATTTGGGTGCTTGACTTTGCAACCTTAATGTTCTTTGACTATAACAGGGTTAAAAAAAGAACTAGATAAATTCATGGAGGATTGGTCCATCAATGGCTATTAGCCAGGGTGGGCGGGAATGGTGTACCTACCCTCTGTTTGCCAGAAGCTGGGAATGAGCGACAGGGGATGGATCACTTGATGATTACCTGTTCTGTTCATTCCCTCCTGGCATTGGCCACTGTCGGAAGACAGGATATTAGGCTAGTTTGACCTTTGGTCTGACCCAGTATGGCCGTTCTTATGTTATGTTCTTCGAACATAGGGATTTTTTTAATGTGTAATATATGTATATACCTCTTTTGTCCATCAGTAGACAGCTCTTTTCAGTGCAATGTCTATTTTGTCAGTAACTTACGACATCCACTGTGATTTCTACATTGAGATTGTCATTATAGTATATTTCAACACTAGTTCCTTCTCCGTCCCAAACCTACACTTATATGTCTTGTCCCTCTTCTTTCCCCCTTTTTCTTTCTATCTCATTCTGTTGCCTCCTCTATATTTATTGAAGGGAAAAAATATTGATATACAATTGTTTTTAATGTGCATTGTCTTACATATTTATCCCCCTAATCTGTAACCATACATTTTGTCATTTAAATTTATTCTAATAAATAAATTGAAACCCTTTAATAAAAGGTCCTTGTTATACTCTGCATAATAACCTTTTCATAAAAAAATCGACTTTGATACTGGAAACTTGTCCTTTCTTGTCCAATAATAGTTTAGCATACTACTGTTTAGTATTATGAAAGCAATATAAAATTTCTTCCCATCTAACCTCATTCAACACAGATCAAAAAAAAGCTTTAAATAGCCATTTAAAATATAAAATACATTTAATGAAATAAGTAGAGTATAACTCTTCTCCCCTCCCAAAATAAATTAATGAAAAAATAAATTAAAACATGCAGTTTATGATGACCTGGAGCAGCCATATTAATCTCTTCAAATGTGAGATTAAATAATGGCTTACATTGCTGTAAGAGTAGCTCAAATTTTGAACAGGGAGGTGGGGAAGATTTAAAAAAAAAAATTTCAAGCCTTAGAATAGAACTAGGAATTTTGTGTAAATGGCCCATTCTGCAGTGATTCTAGGATAGAAAAGTAATTCCATGAAATCATGGAGCACCACAGGCGCTGATTATACTTCAGTGTCAGAAAGGAAAGCTGTGAAATCTTCAGCTCAACAGATTCTGTCCTCCTCCTCCCTCCGACCATGCCACACCGAATAAAAAATAAAACCACTAAAATTTAGATTAGTGTTCTAAAAGATTTTGTAAAGCAGTTTCTTATATGCTTTTGTACAATAGTTTTCAAATAAAAAAAATAAACCTTAGATTCTGTGGCTACTTGTATTTACAACATAGAAATGCCAAGTTTTGTTCAGTTAAAACAATGAATTATATATCCATAAAATTTCAAAAAGATTTAACCCACCTGTAAGTGTGACTTGTTTTAAAAATAAATCTGAAAAGCATGGCTGTGGATTGTTAAGGCTACAATCCTGTCCTTATCCCACATCGTTTGCTTAGGAACTGCAGCACACGTGCAATTATCTCATTGTTAGGAACCCCTAAAATAGTTAATTAGTCTCAGTGTTATGAATTTGAGCTATTATGGTAAATTTGCTTGCTTTTGTAGATAAGTAGGAATCTACTTGAGGACTCTGAGAATCCTTAACACAATAGACCATACAGCTCCAATTCATGTCAAGGTCTATTTGTAGATGCTTTAATCTCAGATCATTGACACAAAAGTGGCTTTGGTATTGTGTAAGTACATGTAAGTGGCAGTTGTATTGTCTTCACATGATTAAAATCTGCACAAGTTTTTATTAATGAAAAGCTGCTATTGGTGATGCTTAGTATTTTTTTTTCTCAGTAACTCACTTTGTCAACATGACAGAAGTAATACAGTCATCATTTTGGTTACTATTTTGCATTTTAAGAACATAAAATATGTTGATTGAACCAAATCTGGTTTTAAATCAATGGGGGAAAATGCTGCTGACTGAAACTTCATAGGTCAAGTTGCAGGATAGAGTAAAAGTTTACAGCTAGCTGTATTGTACTTGAATTCCTGACAGATGTTTAGCTATAGTGGTGCTGCCATAAGGGAGTCTTTTCTGTAGTATAGTCTTAAATTGTAGTTTTAAAATATGGGAAGTCAGAAAGATAAAGTAAGAAAGCAACCCAAGCTCTGTTGTAAAGATGACAATTAAGAATAAATTCATTCACTAGTAAAGTTAATTTATCTCTTCTGCCTTTTGTAAAGACCTATTTTACACACTCTTACAGAGGCACACTCCTTATGAAGTTAATGGCTTTTTTGTCTAAAGGCTAAAGAATAAAATATGGAATGATTTAAAATAGTGTAGAGTAAACCCTGCCTCCTTATGGAAGTTGCCATTCTCTTAAAATGCAAGAAATGTATAGCTCATTGATAAACAACTGCCACAACAACACATACATAGAAAGGCTTTCACACCAATTCTTGTTTGTATACATGTTAGGAATTGCAGTGAACTATGTAAATGCAGACTTAATTTTCTACCCTCTGACAAATTTGATGGAACCAGCATTACCATTTTGAACAACTGTGAACTTTCCAAGAACTTTTAGGTCTTTGCTCATTTTACGTCTCCTTGGTGACCTGCTGGTAAAATGTTGTGTCAGTGGAGTTGGCCTTGAGCAAAATTCTCAGTTTTCACAACTAAAATACATGGAAACTGGGAAATAACCTGTTTAAAAGCTTTAGAAATAGAATTGTTCTCTGAATGTGTACCAGGATAAAGTTTTATATTATTAATTGACTTACAGGTTACACGGGTAGTATTGTTGTGGGTGAACAATCACTTCAATGATTTTGAAGGAGATCCTGCTATGACTCGATTTCTAGAGGAATTTGAGAACAATTTGGAAAGAGAGGTAAGAATAATGGGGTTTTGTAAGGAAAAGAATTTGGGAAGGAGGAGTATTCAGGCTATTCTGTATATTTATGTCATTATTATGCTACTTTTTTTCCCCCCCTGCAGAAAATGGGTGGACATCTGAGGCTATTAAATATTGCATGTGCTGCTAAAGCTAAACGAAGATTGATAACATTAACAAAGCCATCTCGAGAAGCCCCTTTGCCTTTTATCTTGCTGGGAGGGTCAGAAAAGGGATTTGGAATCTTTGTTGACAGTGTGGATTTAGGTAGCAAAGCCACAGAAGCAGGCTTGAAACGTGGTGACCAGGTACATAATTTTAAAGTTTATCAAGTATATACTTGAAATTTCAATGTCTTTGGTTGAGCTATTTTATTCCCTTTTTCCCCCATGAGTGCTGTCATATAGAGCTACAATGTAACTTGTTGCATACATCTTTGTACATTGAGACAGAGATTCTCATGTTTCTGTTTGTCATTAAATAAAAATAGTAAATTGTCGTTTTTACATTTTTTAGATACTGGAGGTGAATGGTCAAAACTTTGAAAACATTCAGCTGTCAAAAGCCATGGAAATTCTTAGAAATAATACTCATTTATCTATCACTGTGAAAACCAACTTATTTGGTAGGTTTGAGTGCACCTTTTTCTTTTTGTTTTACTCTAGTAATCCTATATTCAATCTTTCAGATTAATCTTTTAGTTTTGTTTGAGTGTTATGTACACATAATGTGTGGAAGTAATTTATAATGAAGAAAGAAAAATTAGTAATTAAAGCATTTAAGTTAGGGATGGGAAGACCACAAAATGATTTTTAGGTCCCCAAAGCATTTTATAACACTTTTTTTTTTTTTTAATTATCTTTAGTGGAAATTGCTGAGAGAAAACACAACTAATTTTTAGGTTAATTTACATTACAGTTGTAAAAAATGCAAATTATCTCACATATGAAGAGGTTATACTCTCACTTTCTGAGATTTTAAGGCCAACAGGAACCACTGTAATCCTCTAGTCTGACCTCCTAACGTGCATATACACAAACATTCCTCTGGATACGGACCTCTCTTGGAACTTGGATGATCTGTCTTGATTTCATTTGTCTTTGCCTTCTCTTTTTGTGTTTGGCCTGGCTCACATTCTTTCAGTCCTCACCCAAAGTAAATGCAGTCAAGCCATATGAGCCTACCTATGGAAAAAATGAACTCTTACTCACTCATTTTCCCCACTTGCAAATCCCAGTCGCAAACATCTAACGTTTAGTGGTACATGGATATCATCTCTCACTTCCGTCAGAAATTAATAATTTAGAGTCTGATCCTGTCTGATCCTTACGACTGAGTGCATTGATTTCAATAGGACTATTTTGGGGATTCAGCACTAAGCCCAGCAGTAAGCCCTTGTAGGATCAGGCTCCTTTACTTGTATGCTTCTATTTTATTATGACCGAGGATAGATATTCTGTTCAGATTTTTAAAATGAGTATGTAAACATTTTTTCATTAAAATTAAGGCTGTTTTTAAAATGATTGATAGAATTTGCTGAGCAGACTTTTCTATAATGTTTAACAGTAGATTGGCATGGTGCTTTATACTTTTCTTCGTACTCAGAATTTTCTTTTAAAATATGCTGTTTATCCTTTTTCTTCCTGTGCAGTTTTTAAAGAACTTCTAACAAGATTGTCAGAGGAGAAAAGAAATGGTGCTCCCCATCTACCTAAAATTGGTGATATTAAAAAGGCCAGTCGTTACTCTATCCCAGACCTTGCTGTTGATGTGGAGCAGGTGATAGGACTAGAAAAAGTAAATAAGAAAAGTAAAGCCAACACTGTTGGAGGGAGAAACAAACTAAAGAAGATACTTGACAAAACTCGAATCAGTATCCTGCCTCAGAAACCATACAAGTGAGCATTTCTTAATCTCCTCTAAAATGTTTTTTTTAAAACTGTTGAATTGTTGATATAGAAGGATATAGATCTGTTAAGACAAAAATGTTAAATTTGCAAAAATGTAGGTGGTTCTTTTCTCTATGAACTGTGCCTGGTTAACTAAGATATTTGGGTTGGTTACTCTTCCTTTCGGAAAAGTACCTGCCCACTTTGTGTATGTCCCCATCACCTTAGGTATCAGAATGTTAATACTATATAAGCATACAAGCTTATATGACTGTTCTCCATCCCTTCCTCCTAAACACTGTTGTGGTGTGTGCTTGATATTTCTTCTATGTACTCCTTTTCTTCTGTCTCCTTGGCCACATTGAGTTACTTCTTGAGTTACTCTCAGGAAAAGCAGTTGCAAAAATGTGGCAAACATCTTGCTTGTAACATAGCAGATTTGGTCTGTCTGGTGGAATGGAGTTTCACAGTTGTGGGCAAACCCAGGGTTGAGAAGGTACAATTCTCCTATCAATATTCGCAGCTGTTACACATGCTGGCATCAGGAATGGTGATGTTAAGTTTCTGTTCTCATCAGTGCACTGCAGGTTTGAAAAATTGTTTTACATCAGTTAGAATTTTCTGCTAAGTTTAATATTAACAAGGTAGTATCTTATGGAGCTAAATTTGTTTTTAGAGAGAATAGGTGGGCAAACAAATTGTTTGCAATTGACTCATAGCAGCTGTACAAGTTGTAGATTTCTCCAACCCATTGGCCTAATGTGATCTGCATACTACCATGTGGGAGATCAAATTACCATCCCCAAACCAAATTTTCAACCCAGGTACTTCAGTGGAGTTGGACATGATTACACAAAGACTAAATTTGGTCCCCCCAGTCTCTCTTGCCATAGACTGGCATGGGGCCTTTTAGAAATGGTGTGTTTAGATTCTAGATAAAAGGAATGTGTTGTGCTGGTAAACAACTGTGTGTTTGACCAATTGAGAAATGAGTTGGACATTGTTTTATGGGAGTTTCTTCCAGTTTTTCTCAGTAGAAGTCTGGGGAGCCTAATGGTGACCCTTGAAGATAGGGAGTAGGAAGATGAGAACAATGAAACACCAACCGTCCATGTCTCCAGCCAAGGAGCTTTTGTGGGGTCCCAGATGAATAGATGATCCAGTGGAACAAATACTTCCTATTGTAGAACCATTTTTCTCTTCTGTATCCCATAGGAAGGCTGTGCTTCTGCCCACAGTAATGGAGAGGATAATTGGCGCTCAGATTTTTTACTTCAGTAGTAATAACTGAGAACAGAACTGCTTCAATTAATGTTTAGGTATTAAAAACTAACAAACACTATGTAATTAGTGAAGATGCTATTGGCTGCAAGGGGAGAGAGAACAACATTATTTGCTTTATAAATGAACAAATTATAAAATGCAAATAGTGTATAATTTTAAAATGAATTTGTCTTGAAAATGGAGGTAGGCCACTGAAATTAAGGTTTCAGATATTTTAAAAGCAATGTGTGCTGTTGAAGTAATGCTTGGTAATCTTTTGTAATGATAGTTAGTGGTCTTTTATTGTGTTCACCCTTCCAGTCCCTGTGTTAAAATAAGATTTACAGTAGAAATTAGCATCTTTGATTCCTGTGGATGAAATGGAATGTGTAAATCCTTATAAAAAGAGCCTCATTTAATATTCTCTGACTCTTAACTATTTCTCATTCTCTATATAACCATTCTTGCATATTTGTGCCCCTTAGTTCTCTGATGAACCAGACACATCATTTGCTGGAGTTTGTACTGTTCTCTATTAATCTTACTGCATTAAATTCATTTCTCTTAGTTTGTCACTTATTTTTTCTTCCTCCTTGCACGTTGCTAATTCCTGTGTAGGGGACTGTTTGGGTAAGAGTCAGAAAAACAGCACAGTCGATCTAAAATCCTTTCCCCTTTGCTAGCCTTAATCCCTGTGTTATGTATAGCAATGTATGTTCCCAAAACCCACTGACATTTCAATTTTTTGTTAATGTGTGATCTCCACATAGGGTTGGGTAGGTATAGCCTTTCCAACATGTATATGTTCCACTTCCTGAAAGCCTCTGGTTTAGATATCGTCATAAGTAACAGCATTTCACTGTCATTGGGCACTTAAAGAATTTTCATTTGCTATTTTTGAAAACCACAAATAAAGAGGACTGAAGCATTTCATTTGCCTATGTTAATTAAATGGTAAACTACTATTTAAAGGTAGGAAGGGATATATTTAAAGACCTCTTTATCTTCTTTGCTATCCAAGCAGGAAATGTGCACTCTTCCAATTGCTGTGTCTTGCTATATTAATAGTATCTCAGTGCACAATAAAAGAATATATAAAGGAATGGGAATCCATTTGCTTTTTCCCTTCAAGCCTCCTTCCCAACACCACACCCAAATAAAATATTTTGCACAACAGTGGGGAAAGTATGTTGTGGCACCCAGGATCTTGCAATATTGCCATTTTTAAGTCTGATTTTCCTAGTTTTTACTTATTTATAATAGTTCAAATCTCAGAAGTTTTGATGTAGTTTTAAAAAAAATCAGTTTAGGCTCTTTATAAGAAAGAAAGTGAATACTTTTGCTCATATATAACCTTTCATATGAGACTCTTTAGAAATATTACCTATTTAATCCTGACAACACCATAGTTAAGAACAACAGCCACCAAAGGGAAGCCATATCTGGTATGGAATACAGTATCTGTTTAACATTATATAGTAAAACTAAACAGTTTGACAGGAAGTAAAAATGAATGCAGTATCTCATTGAAACTGCAAGAGGCATTTAGTCAGGCAAAGTGTCATTACCTCAGTGTGAGTGTAGCCAAAACATTGATGTTAACACCTCGACTCTTATGAAAAGTACTGCAGGAAGTTATCACCAGAAGTGATTGTGTTCTTGGGTTTTGCACTTTAAAGAAGACAGCACATCCAGCACCATAGATGTGTGATAACAACCTACCAAATATTGTTGAGTGGTGGCTTAGAGGAAAGAGTATTATCTACTGAATTACTATCACCACTTTTCACAGCACTCTAAGCTTTGTGTGGCGGTATCTGATTTGGCCATAAGAAAGTGGGGCTTGCGTGCACTGGGCAAAACACTTGTACTTAAGCACAAAATGACATGGCTAAATGTGCTATGGCAACTCTAAATGAAAATGTAAGTAATAGATAAGAGTCAAATGCTTCCTATGGTATCCATGTTGATTTTCTGTTTGACTGTTGACGAATTGGCCAAGATTTTAAAAAATGAGTGCCTGAGGTACTTTAATTTAGTGGCCTAATTTTTAAAGGTGTGTTGGGCATCTAGCAGTTCTGACTTATTTATTTAGGAACCTAATATGGATTTAGGAGTCTAATGTTAGGCATTCACTGTTGAAAACCCTGGCCTTTGGTTGTTAAATTATAAAAATATTTCCATCTGCTACAACGGTTGTCATTAAACATTCAAAGTTTGCCCACCAAAATGTTGTATTTGAAGTTCTCAGCTACATCCCTGTATGTAAACTCAAGAGCTTGGCTCCTCATCAAGAGCACATTACCCTGGCTTCTACACCCTCCACTGCTTCCAATTTGTTTCCATTGCCAATTAAGATCATCTTCCTGCACTCAAAGCCATCAATAGTACCCATCATTAGATGACATCTCTCCATCTGTGACCTGCTAACACTGTTGTGCTCCTCTGGAATAATGCAGTTCACAAAAAATAAAGTGCCTAAGAGCTGGAGAAATATTGTTCTGGGATGAGGGGATCTTTTTTGGAATGAGTTACAAGAGGAGATTAGACTGAGCCAAAGTCCGATTGGTTTTAAAGTGCACTGCATGTTACCCCTTTTTAATAAATCTTCTCCACCCTGAATAAAGTGCTGAGATAACAAAACTAGCCATCTTCCCAGAAGTAGGAAGGGCAAAGAGCAGAATCCTCATTGGTTATTGGTAAGCAGATCTAATTTTATTGTTATATTGCAATTTTATTGTTATATAGCACTTGGATACTGTGGCTAAATGCACCGTAGAGGAAACTATAAGATAGCTACTGCTTTTTGAGGACCGTTAATTTTTAAATGGCAAATACTGTAGCCATAACTAAAGCTTTGAAGATTTAAGTTCTGAAATTTCTTATTTTCTCATTACTCCTTGGCACAGTGACATTGGAATTGGCCAGTCACAGGATGACAGCATTGTAGGATTGAGGCAGACCAAACACATTCCTCCTGCTTTACCTGTCAGTGGAACCCTGTCATCCAGTAATCCAGATTTATTGCAGTCACATCACCGCATCTTAGATTTCAATAGTACTCCAGGTGAGCATCAATTATTTTTACTCTTACCTCTGATTTTCCTCTAGACACACTTTACTTTTAGATACTCATTGTTCTGGATCTACCCATCAATTTGTATTTACATATGTTTTAACCTATAGACTGATCATGTATTGTATTAATATACAGTTCTTTCTTGTGTCATTGCTCCAGTTTATTTTAACTCCAGGCAAATATGTATTGTGGCAAAGTACCTTCTTCTCCTCAGCAGGCTCAGTCCTTTTTAGCCTTGGAGAGACAGGCTTGGGCAAGGCAAATCCTTGCAGGTAGCACAGGGTTTGGCTATTCCTTTTCTCAGTCAGCCCCTTGTGCTTGTTTATCTTCCCTTCTGGGGACAGAGTGCGGCCTTCCTTGCTGGAAGGGTCCAGAGCCTTGCTGCTCCTAACTTACTGGCAGCTTCCCTGGTTCTCTCACTCTCCCCCCCATGTGGAGGGGATGCTCTCAGTCGTAGTTTGTGGAAAAAATACAGGCACAAGATGGAATCCAGGGTCACTTGAGCAAGTCACATGCCCTTGCATGCTTTGATAACTCATAGAAGCAGCCATTACCCATATTTTGGCTAAAGCATCCACCGGAAGCCTACTGGGTGGGGACAATCTTCTTTGATGGGCCATTATGAGATGTAAGTGTTCTTTAAAGGGCCATCAACTTGAATAGTTCATTCACAATGTGCTGGCCAGACTGGATATAAATTACCTTGTGGGTGTTATCCCAGGAGCAAACTTGTTTGAAATATAGGTCTATGTAGCCAATATTCATAACTTCAGATGCAAAAATTATACATGCATATAAACAGGATCATCATACTCAGCAAGCAGGGCCGGGTCTAGGCACCAGCAAAACAAGCTGGTGCTTGGGGCGGCACATTTTTAGGGACGGCATGGCCGGCGCCAGAATGCCGCCCCTGCCGCCCCTAAAAATGTGCCCCGGCCACCCTAGCTCACCTCCGCTGCTGCCGCTCGCGCGCCACGGCGCGCAAAACAGCTGATTCGCGCACCGCTGCTTGCCCTCCCTCCCAGGCTCTCAAACCTGGGAGGGAGGGGGAGACTCCGAGTGGCCGCGGCACGTGAAACAGCTGATTCGCGCGCCGCTTGGGGCGGCAAAAATCCTAGAGCCGGCCCTGTCAGCAAGTCATAACTTTTCCATTGATACCTTACATGATATACTTTGTTCAAGATTTGTTGCATTTGTCTGACAGCGGCAATATTAATGGTCATGTTCCAATCATACAGCATCACAGACTGCTACTTAGTAATTTATTTTATTATAATAAAACTTGTCCAGATATGCTTCAAATGGTTTTAAAACAATTCTTAGCTTTTTTTCCTAACCAACCAAAAAAAAAACACCCTACAAACAAACAAAACCCCTCCAACTAGATCAGATATCTTAAGGGTTTTAGGAATATTTGGGTTATAGACACAAGCCATTGATTAATTTCAGTGTACTTGAAGACTTGAAAAAATTTAAAGCTTACAGTTTTTAATTTAGTTGTTACCTTGAACTAAATAAAAGATGGGGACACGGGCAGTTTTCGGAAAATTGAATGCATTGGAGTAGAAAGGGAAAGCCTTGTGGAGTTGCCATCCTTTAAGGCTTTAGGGACACTGCTTCAGGATGGAACATAAAACTACTTGTTCAAGTAAGCTTTGAAAACCAACTTTTTGGAAGGGTTGTCTTCAGGAAAATAAAACACCCATTCTAGAAGCTTGAAGCCAGCAACAATCTGTTTTATATCCTGCTTTATATAGGGTTTTTGTTTTTGTTTTTAAATAGCAGTTTATTTTTAAATGGTCAAATACTCCATAACACTTTTACTCTCATGGCTGTATTCTATTGGGATTCATGAGTATACTATGATTTTTAACTGTCTATCACCTTTAATTTCCCCTTTACCTTCAGACAGAAACTCCAAGTAGACTAGCCTCTTATCTACAAGGCAAGGCTTTTCCCAGTACTCCAGTGCAATTTCTTTCTGGGAAAGATGGGGAAAAAATGATAAAAGCTGTCAAGTAGTAAAATTAAGAAGTCATGATTAATTTATAAAAAACAACAATACCTTATGAAACATCTCATTATCTGAATGTGACTGTGCCCCTTGCAACCATGAATGCTAGTCCATTGACTTTGCTCATATGCAACCGTCCTATGAGCAAATGGAGGAAAGGAAACTGAAATGTCATTTTTCACTTATGACAAAGCAATCGGATAGATCTTGAGCACAGTTTCCCAGAGACACTCTCCCTTTCACTAACATTAACCTAAAACTATGTTTTAGTGGCATAATCAATAATAGTACCTTCTAAATGCATGGAAAGATTTACAGTTATTTTAGTTTTCTATGTGGTGTTAGCTAGAGATGGGCTTGGATCAAGCCACACAGTTTGGATACGTCTTTGCCAAAGTTAGGGGATGTTAAGATCTGAGGCATTGATTTGTCCCATCATGGAGATAATTGTCATCTCCATTGTTGAGTTCTGGATCCGAACTTCCTCGAAGTTTGGGATTGTTTGGATCTGAGGCTTCGGATCAAGATCAGCTCTAGATTGCATTTTTAATTTCAAAATCCTGTACACTTTTTATATAGGATGTGATACTGCTTAGATGATGATCAGACCTGTATTGGACATGAAAAATTGTGGTAAGAGTAAGCCAGGGTGGTGATTATGTTATCATAGAACCTAGGAACCCAAGTCATGAACCATTGTGCTAGGCATTGTACAAAGATAGAATAAAGACAATCTCTGCCTCAAAGAGTTTATAGTCTAAGTATTAAACAAGAGACAACAGATAAATATAGACAGGAGAATACAAAGAAACATTGAGACAGTATTGGTCATCGTGAAATGTAGTGGTCTCAGTTCACTGGTGGCCTAACCATTATGAAGATTTTTTTAGGCATCATGGCAGAGGAGAGTTTTGAGGAGGATAATGAGGTAGCTTTATGTTTATGGGGAACTGCAGATGTTTGCTGGTTTATGGTTTATGTTTATGGGGTATGCTGATGTTTATGGGGAACTCCTCCAAGTGTCAGGGGAATCATGGGAAAAAACACAAAAAAGTCTGCTTGCTTGCGGATCTTAGCAAGCGGGCAATGGAGGCTGGCATCATGGGCAATTAGAGGCGGGAATCAATGTCTTGATAGTGAACGAGAGATGATAGAAAGGTGGGGATAGGCCATGAAAGGCCTTGAAAAGGAAGACAAGCAGCTTGTTTCATGTGATAATGAAGTGGTGGCAAAGAGAAGATTGACATGGTGAAAATGATAGGCTGGGAAAATGATCTTTAAAGCAACATTCAGAATGGATATGAGCGGGGCATGATGGCATTTGTCAAGGCCAGAGAAAAGGGTGTTGCAGTAATCGAGACACAAGGTGAAGAAAGCCTGCACAAGTATTTTAGTTGAGCCTTAGAAGCATAGAACACGAAGGGACCTTAATTTTTCACTGATCAGGTATTTGTTCTTCATACTGACTCTTCTAATCCTAAAGAGCAGGTTACCTTCCTCTTGAGCAAAAGGGGGCTTGTTAGTGCAATCAGTGGACTCTCACTAGGAGCTGAGTTTGCAGTGGCACACAGTAAAATAGTTGAGAACTTCCATTTTGTTTAATGTTTATTTTAGGAGGGTTTTCGAAGTAGTATATTGAGCACTTTCTTTTCCTTTTCCTGCCTATTTTTCTTTCTTAATGGGTTGGGCATTATTTGAGACATTTCTTCTCCCACAGTGACGAATCTCTGAGGCACTCCTTCAGGGTTTGACTGCTTCTCCTGCCCAAGATGGCAGAGCAACCCAGAAATTACAGAAACATGCTCTGTCCCTGAAAGCCTTCTTCTGAAGGAGCCTCTGTTCACAGAAGGAAGAGCTGTATTAGTAATGTGCAAAGCATATTGGACCCTCACTCTCCAAGGAAACAAGTATCAGAGGGGTAGCCGTGTTAGTCTGTATCCACAAAAACAACGAGGAGTCCAGTGGAGTGAGCTTGCAATTTGTCTAGGTCTAGGATACCTGAATATTTGGCATAGCAACTAAGTTCTCTGTTTTGATTATCATACATTAATAATTTTTAAAATAGGCTTAGAAATATGGTTACATAAAGGCATTACTGAATCATTGTAGTTGGGATATGAAATTCAAGGAAATGACTGAATTGGCCTAAATTTAGCCTAATGAATATGTAAATTATGAGGTAATCAGTCAGTTTTAATATTTTTTCATTGCTGTTCTTCAAGTTGCAAAATAGTGAATAAATGTGCACATCCCAGTAGTGATCACGGTATATCACTATATAAAACAAGCCATGTATGAGAGAGAAGAACTCTCATGTTCCCTAAATTGACTAATTTGGTAACATCGTGCAATAATGGGAAAACATTCTGTAATATTTGTTTTTATCTCGACACTTCTGTTGATGAATACACGTGTTTTTGTAGGGTTTTTTTTTTTTACAAAATATACATGTAGTGCACATTCAGGTCTAATAGTAAATTCCCTTTTCTCTGAATTGCTGCCAAATAAGATTCCTTTTCTTCAAAGAAAATGTTTTTGTCTAGCAGTTGGTTTATCAGTATCAGTCTATTTAAGTATTAGTCTTGGCAGTAGATCCAGGAGACTTCACTTTTGCTTTGTTTTCATGTTGTTCATATGACCTTTATGTCCTTCAGAATAAAAATACAAATTGCCCCTCCTCTTACTTTGATGAAAAACAGAGCAGGAATTTAAATCCATGACACGCACACAAATATCAAAGCTTATTTACCTCTGAAAAATATGTTAACTTCCCCAGTCAGTTAAAAGATTAGAGTGGAAGTGCTTACCTTTATCATGAAAAATACCGTGGGGGACAGAATTATTGTGCCCTTATAGTAAGTCCAGTGGCGAAGAGCTGCAAGATTTTCTACAGCTTTGCTTTTTATATTCTATTTCGACTGGAAATTGCCAGAATGATAAAATGTGAGTTCATCTCCAGATTCAATCTCCCACCAATTTTATACTGATATTCAAATCCAAGGTTTTAGTTTGGAGGTCTCTCTTTCTTACTTTTTTAAAAAGTAATAAAATCCCAGTACAACCATTGTATTCTCAGCTATTTAAACAATACCTTATAAATATTTGAGTGCTGAATGATTTATTCCTTTTTCCCTTGATTGAATGTATTTAATTCCTAATTATAAAACACTGGCATGAAAAATTAATGAAGTTGCAGGTCTCAATTCATAAATGTTATGTATGTTTGGTTTTATATATTTAATACTGTAAGAGAATGGGGCTGATTTTTTAAAAAAGTTAGGCGCAACTTGCATTCGTATTACTACAACTGTCCATGCAAATCTGTTTGCATATGTAACTGGCCAGTTCTTCTTTGAGTAGGATCTCTCACTGCAGGTGTGCTTATACCCCAAGCACCTTTGATCAGAGATTTTTGGTAGTACTGCCTGTTTGGCCCACCCTTGCATCCTCATGCCCACGCCAAAGACAGATAGGGCTGCATGGGGAAACAGCCCTCTGTGTCTTCTCAGCTGCCTTGGCCTGAGACAGAGTGCTAGTGTGCTCACTTTACTATTCAAATCCTGTCCTTAGTCTTAGATTTCCTTTACTTTCCTTGATTTTGTAGGGGAGGCGGGGTTTCGTTCGAGATCCCCATTGTCCCAGAGTATGCCAGGATATTCGGGTTTCAAATTCCCTGTTTGTCCACTGCTTGGGGGACACACACATTCTCTCATAAGTGTATCATCCACTCAGCTTTTAAAAGCAGAGCCAGGAAGAATCAGAAAATAAAACTTAAGCACTTAATGATGAAGTATTGTCTCCAGATGGCCTCCGATCCAGGCTACTAGGAGTCACTCCCCCCCCCCCCCCCCCCCGGCTTTCAACCACCGCTCCCCCACCCCAAACATAAGCCTGTGAATGAGAATAGTGCCCCGTCAACATCTGCAGCCACCTATGCACATTCAGGAGATATCCTTGGAGGACTCAGGGAAGACTCACAGAAGAGGACTCATTCTCCTCATAAGGGGTCTGCTTCGAGAAAGCCTTGGGATCCTCAAAGTAAAACTTCATTAGAGATCTCATATCCCATTCTGGGTACCGCATGGGGTGTCAGCACACATTAAGTGGCACACCCATATGGATATACATCTCGAAGAACTCTAGTTACTGCACTCCTTGTACTATCTCTGCTCCTCCCAGCCAGTCTTCATCAGTACCATCTACTTCCATCAGATAAGATTTACCAAAGTAGTTTATGCCCTCTGCATTGATTAGAACCTTTCCCTCTACCAACCCACCTGATACTCCAGGGTTGTCTTATTTAAGATGAGCTGGTGTCCCCCCGTCCAGTACCCTCAGAGTGGCAGAGCTCCTCCTTTACATGAGGAGGAGTTCTCTTCAGCCACCCAAATCTCAGTGCATGATTCCTCTACTTACCAAAGGGACTTCCCTCCTGACTGTTTTGGGGAGAGAGAAGGGTTACATTCAGGATGAACCCACGCCCTGTGCACTGGTTCTAGCACCATTGGATGCCACCTCCCATGCTTTATTGACCCCCTCAGTGGCCATACTGAGATCCTTGGGCTCCAGGTCGACAACAATTCTCATGAGTCCCTAGTTTTTCATGTGGGGACCACAAAAAGAGACATTCTCCTACTTTATCTATCCCTGCTCCATTACCTCAGGTACAGGAATCCCTTGAAGAGCAGGAGGCGGAGCAGAGAAGGATGATTCTCTGCAAATGAATGTCTTTCAGATGAGGTAGTTATGCTGCCTCCACTTTCTCTGGCTGATGATTTCAAACAATTAATTAAATGTATTGCAGACTCTTTACCAGTCCCTCTAGAGGATGTCAGAGAGTCGCAGTCAAGCTCCCGGATATTCTTTAGTTGCCACTTTCAGCTAATGTTAGCTTGCAAATTAATGAATCCCTACTAGACCCTAGCAAAATTATCTGGCAAACTCTGGCAGTGATACCACCAACATGCAATTATGCTGATAAAAGAATATTACATCCCAGCCAAGAGCCCTGAATTATTATTTTCACGTCCTGCACCTAACTCTCTGGCTGTGGAAGCAATGAATCAACAGTAGCACATAAAATTCGCACCTTATAATAAGGATCAGAAACACCTTGACAAAGGATGCTGCCTTCCATACCCTGCACATTAGGAGGATGAGGGTCTTTTATTTGGACGGAAGCAGACCATTTAGAAAATTTCCAAGACTGTTGTATCAATTGCTGAGAAGTCCAAAGGGTCCACAATCTCCACCCAAGCACTTTTCAGATGGATTTCTGGATGTATTCTTTCTTGTTCTCATAGGGTATTAGCCCATTCCACAAGGTCTCTCTCTACCATTGTCACATTCCCATTGTTGAGATCTGCAAAGCTGCAACTTTGTCTTCAATACATACTTTTTCCATGAACCACATGATGGTTTATTCTTCTAGCTGTTGTCCTTGGGAAAGCAGTCTTGTCTTCAGTATTGGACTTGACTCTGAAGCTTCCTCCTTTTGTTTTGAAGTAGAGAACCCATAGGAACACTACTTGAAGAAGAAAGAGATTATCCACCTTGGGCAGTAATTTAAGTTCTTCGAGGTGTGTACCTATGGGTGTTCCTCTACCACCCTCCTTCCCCTCTGCTTCCAAGTTTCTTCTATGGGACGTAGCAGTGGAAAAGGAACTGAGGGCAGTTTACCAGTGCAGGCCTATATATACTCAGTGCAGAGCATGAGGATGTGTAGAGTGCATGTGCAGGCCGAATGGGCAGTACTACCAAAAATCTCCAGTCAAAGCACATCTGAACTGGAGAGCCCATAGGAACACACATCTCGAACTCCAGTTTCTGCATAAGGTGAGTACCCAATTCCTTACCTATCCATTTCCTTGCAGGTGCTGCTCTGATGGCCTGTAAGAGGTTCCATTTTTGGGGTAGGGGGGAGGAAAACTCAGCACTAACACTTTCACTTTTTGCAGAAATCCACAACTTTCTAAGGCAACAAAACAAACACACTCTTTGGGCTCTCAGTATAGGAGTCAAGGACTTGGGATGGGGAGCAGAGTCTATTTAAAAGCGGCATATAATCCAGACTGGGAGAAGTTCCGTTTTATAGACCAGAGAAACCCAGACTTCCAAGCTGCATGGCTTATCCTCTGTAGTGGATCCAAATCAATCTGCTACATCCACAAAATCTTATGCAGGTCTCACTCATCTAATATTTTAAAGGTTCCATAAGTGAGTCCTTAAGCCTGGGACTTTCTGCCATATTAGTAGGTTTCAGATGGTCTCTTGTAGATGAAGTTTTCGGGTCTAAATTCAGGTTAGACCCACCAGATGCATATCAGTTGGGAGCTATGTCCTGTAAAAAATTTCAGGAGAGGAAAGGGGAGAAGAATGAAAACACAGTGACCCTGATGTCAGAAGTAACTGTACAGATCTACTCCTGTGGTGTCATCACTTTTATTGTTCTTTGACCTGCATTTGTATTTTTTTTTTTTCTTCTTCAGACTTACCAGACCAAGTTCTGAGGGTTTTCAAGGCAGACCAGCAAAGTCGCTATATTATGATTAGTAAGGACACAACAGCAAAGGAAGTGGTCATTCAAGCGATTAGAGAGTTTGCTGTAACTGCTACTCCCGATGCATATTCTTTGTGTGAAGTCTCTGTCACTCCAGAGGGTGTAATCAAGCAAAGGAGGCTTCCAGATCAGCTATCCAAGCTTGCTGATAGGATACAGCTAAGTGGCAGGTGAGACTTTGGTTTATATTATGTCAGTTTAATAAGAATTCTAATTCATATGAGTATCTGCAAACTTGTGACAGTCTGTTTTCTCCCCAGAAATATTTCAACTTCAAGGTTACTATTCTAAGCTAGTTAGAGCATATACTACACTAATTTCAGTCTGTAACTTTTCTCTAGTATATGATGATCTTAGCTATCAATTTTCTTCTGGTATTTGATTTTTATAGGTATTATCTGAAAAACAACATGGAGACAGAAACATTGTGTTCAGATGAAGATGCTCAGGAGTTACTGCGGGAAAGTCAAATTTCCCTACTGCAGCTCAGTACTGTTGAGATGGCTGCTCAGCTCTCCATGCGAAACTTTGAGCTGTTTCGTAACATTGAACCCACAGAGTACATAGACGACCTGTTTAAACTCAAATCTAAAACCAGTTGTGCTAACTTGAAAAAGTTTGAAGAAGTGATAAACCAAGAAACATTTTGGGTAGCATCTGAGATTCTAAGAGAAACCAACCAGCTAAAAAGAATGAAGATCATTAAACACTTCATTAAGATAGCACTGCACTGCAGGGAATGCAAGAACTTCAACTCCATGTTTGCAATTATCAGGTAAATAAGGGAAGTTTTGTGTGGGTTTTTTTTTTTTACACCGTGAATTCAGTTCAGATTACTCAGGAATAATACTTCAAACTGAATAGAAATTTGCATTAAACAGAAAGGGAGCTGACTAATACTATTACCGTCAGCTTTGGACACTCCTAAAAAAGATAAGAAAAGATTTTTTCCCCCAAGAATCTTGTATCCTGATATTAAAATGTTTGTTGAAATAATCCTTGGAACTCGACCACCTTTATAAAAACTGAAACTAGAGGAATTGGGAAATACAGAAATTGTGTGGCGTGGGAGGAAAGAGAATTTTGAGAAGGATGACAAAGTTAGAGATAGTCAAACTTAGAAAAAAATAAAAAATGTAAGCGGGTCCAGGAATGAGAATAAGTCCAGCAGCTTCATGGAGGAAGGATGTCAAAAGGATTGCATATCGCCTTGTTCTACTCTTGTGGTTGTGCCTGTGGGAAAGGTAATGGGGAGGGTGGATAGTAAAAAGAATTTGCAATTATAAGAAAGCAGGTGGCTTGTGGTATTTTCTGTCTTGGTGCTTGATCCTTACAAGATACTGAGTTCATCTCATGAAGTGCTATTTGACCTCGCCCCCTGCTTTCCTGTGGGAGTTAGGATGTGCATTACCTCATAGAAGGTGCTCAGTACCCTGTATTTATTGAGTCTTGGTATATTATTGATTGTAGTTTTGTACTATCAGCTGCTTAGACTGTTGACAAAAGAAAAATTGTTCCCAGTAGGAGAGTGTACTATTATCTACCCTATCTGGAGCTGAAGAAAGCAATAGAAGTAATTAGAATGCGGTTCTTTTGAATTTGGGTTACTGTATTACTGTTGTCTGTTCTTAGGGGTTTGTATTTCATGTGCAGAAAATCCAGCTGGGGGAAATTTGTTATAAAATTCCTCACATTAAGGTATTTTAATTTTTTTTAAAATCCCCAGAGTAATCTCCTCATCTCAAAAAAGATATACTGGCATTAGAAAAAGTTCAGAAAAGGGCAACTAAAATAATTAGGGGTTTGGAACGGGTCCCATATGAGGAGAAATTAAAGAGGCTAGGACTTTTCAGCTTGGCAAAGAGGAGGCTAAGGGGGGATATGATAGAGGTATATAAAATCATGGGTGGTGTGGAGAAAGTGAATAAGGAAAAGTTATTTACTTGTTCCCATAATATCAAAACTAGGGGTCACCAAATGAAATTAATGGGCAGCAGGTTTAAAACAAATAAAAGGAAGTTCTTCTTCACACAGCGCACAGTCAACCTGTGGAACTCCTTGCCTGAGGAGGTTGTGAAGACTAGGACTATAACAGGGTTTAAAAGAGAACTAGATAAATTCATGGAGATTAAGTACATTAATGGCTATTAGCCTGGATGGGTAAGGAATGGTGTCCCTAGCCTCTGTTTGTCAGAGGGTGGAGATGGATGGCAGGAGAGAGATCACTTGATCATTACCTATTAGGTTCACTCCCTCTGGGGCACCTGGCGTTGGCCACTGTCGGTAGACAGGATACTGAGCTCGATGGACCTTTGGTCTGACCCAGTATGGTCATTCTTATGTTCTAATTTTAAATTACAGAATGTAAAAGTAGAAAATGTCTAGTACCTGTATTAAAGAAATACTTAAACACTCTTGCACTCTTGAGAATACTTCAGGTTGAAGAAATAAAAAAATATAACACCATAATAATAGAAATGTAAATATCACAGGCTACAAAAAAGGGTTATTGGCATATATCGTTATTAGCCTTCCATGCAAAAGCCTTTGTTTTAAAAAAAAAAAAAAATCATCTCTGCCACTTCTCCTGAAGGTCAGTGGATTTGAACCCCATCAGGCCAGAAGGGGAAGAAAATTCTCCAAAATCAGAGACCCTGGCCAGGAATCTGTCAGTGCCCCTGAGGCATTTAAATCTAGGTACTTAGTTCAGCCACTTCAGCTGAGCTTAAATCCTGCTTCAGAATATGGGGTGAGAGGCAGCCTGTCAGTTAGCTAGGACTTGAATAATAGCTGACATTATAGATTGATATCAGTACCTCCTTTGCAGCCAGAAGTGAATAGCTAGTCAGGACCACTGGTGTAAAGTACTCCCTTTGCCAACAGCACTAAGGGAGTGGACCACAGGTTGTTCAGCCAGCTCCTGTATATCCTTAAGTATTTCCTGTATATCCTTAAGTCTATTTCAGCAATTCCATCTGGAGGTGACATGGCACATGGATTGTGTCAAAGGAAATGGTCTTAGCACTATCACTAGGTATAGATTTGGAGATAAGCATCCATGGTCACTGACACACTCTGGGAATCCAGGAGTGACCGTGAGTCCAGATATATCTAGAGATTGTAAACTTCCATGGTAAAGGGCAGACAACTCCTCTATAGTGGAGGCAGATACCAATCTGGGTATATTGCATTATATAGATTCCATCAGTCTTTATAGTTAATATAAAGTCATACCTTTAAGATATGCATTTTCATAACAGAATTATTGTATAGATTTTATAATGCACATTTTCAAAATACAATTTTTGCTTACTAATATTTGCACTTGATTGGTATATTGCTGTACTACAACACTTTGCCTGATATGGGATATGATATTTCTGCTACACAAAATTGTATAGTTTTATATTTGGGTGTTGCAGTTTTCTTTCTATTAAGTTTGCATAGTTTGTAAATAGTTAAATAGTTTGTATTTAATTGGACAAACAAAACAAAACCCTAATGAACTGTTTTCAGTGGCCTGAATTTGGCACCGGTTGCAAGGCTCCGCACTACTTGGGAAAAGCTTCCAAGCAAATATGAGAAGCTGTTTCAAGATCTTCAAGACTTGTTTGATCCATCTAGGAACATGGCAAAATATCGTAATGTCCTGAACAGCCAAAACCTACAGCCTCCCATTATTCCTCTCTTTCCTGTTATCAAAAAGGACCTTACATTCCTCCATGAAGGTAAATGCAAAATAGCTTGGTTCTTTATCTCCACAGAAAATGGATTTTACAGCCTAGTAGCTGATACCATTACTATTTACTTGTCTTCTTTTTATTAAATATAGGAAATGACTCAAAAGTGGAAGGCTTGGTCAATTTTGAGAAGCTGAGAATGATTGCAAAAGAAATTCGTCATGTTGGTCGAATGGCTTCTGTTAACATGGATCCTGCTGTAATGTTCAGGACTAGGTAGGTTTGTCTTCAACAGAGCTTCAGTTGATTGAGACAAAAAGTTGAGTATCAATAATAAAATAAGTAATTCTCTAGTGCCCGTCCACAGCCCTTAACAAAAGAAACATTGCAAATTAAATAATGAAAGATGAGACTTTATCTTCCCACCTGTGGTGCCTCTTGTTCTTTCTATGCGTGGAACACTCATATAAGTCAATGGGAGTTTTCAGTTACAAGATTGGACTGTATAATTTCTGTATCACTGGTTGTATTACAGCATTATAGATGTACAATGTCTCATTCACTACCTTGTACCACTTTTAGGTAATCACAGTTACGTACTGTATCCACATTTTAAAACCAGTTTTAAAAAGGAAAGCAATTATAGATCTTACCATGGAGGAAACAGTGTTTTATATTCTCCCACTGACAACCAATTTGCCTGATTCCGTGATGAGATCCCACCAATTCATAGTCTGAATAAAGATATTCTATCTCATTATATACTGTATTAGAGGAAAGTTTATTGTATGAAATGTTGATGCATACGACAATCTAAATTGCTCACAGTTTACTATAAATAGGAATATTTGAACTTCAGCATAAATCAATGGTGCAGGAGAATGTGAAGTGATTGCTGTTTGGTTTTGTGTAGAGATAGTGTAATGCACTCTCGCTTAATTTGAACGAGAAGAGTTTTTAATATCCGACTGTGTGCCTCAGATAAGGCTGTTTTAATGTTTGTGGGCTTCTAGTACTGCTTGTCCTGAGGTCTGGTCTTTTCTTTCTGAGCTTGTGATCTTTCTCTGTCTCTTCCTAAACCCATGCTTCACTCTTCATGGCTCTCACTTGCAGGAAGAAGAAATGGAGGAGTTTGGGGTAAGTGGTTGGAGACAACGCACACAGACAAACATTCATTTCTGACCATTTGCATTGTTTTTCTACTTGCTATCTTTAATTTTCTGATGCTTTGACATTTTTCTTTTAACCCTTTTGTACTTACAATAAGTTTAATCCAATGGTGCTTTTGCTTTTGAGGTCAAAAACACAAGAGCTGTGAAACTATTTACAGATATTTTTGAGTGTGATTTGGGGAAGGGTTGTTTATTTAGCACACCAATACAATTGACTTTAATATAACCAGTCTGGCTTGTAATAGAAAGGAAATTCCAAAATAGAATGGGGATAGCTGTACAACTAAAATTTACAACTAATTTACATATGCCTGATAAATGAATGAAGATGAAATCCACTGATGTTAAAAATTGAAGTATCATGTTTTTTACAGCTCAACTAACTATATTTTCACTCTAAATCCAGCCTCCATTTTTTACTCTTAACAAATCAGAAGCCACAAATAGCTTCCATATATACATACACGAATTGAAATGCATGACGTTTATTTCCTCATTGACTAATTGATCATTTGTTTAACAAAAAGCTCATCGTACTCAAGTTAGGGAATAAAAAATTTTTTTTCTTCATTACTATTGAAATTGAGGTCTTTATAAACCCAGATTAAGACTATGTTGAAGACACTTGTATTTGTATTTAAATTTGAAGCCCAGCTACAGTTGTCTGTCAGCATTGCCTTGCTGCATGAGCTTTTCTTAATGCTCCAACCTTCTCAGTAGCTGACTTATGTGAGAGAGCTGTCTTGAATGCTTTCTAGATGTGTGAAGGGAGATTGCCTAGTTGGAGCAGAATAGGTTCCAGGCAGTTATTTTATTTAATTATACATAAATTATTATTTTTAACCAAATAAAGAGATTTCTTGATCCTCATCTTCTGTCTATTATAGCTGTTTGACTTACTGGAATGAGGCATGTAAGCTTTGACCATAGACTGACATTCATGGAACCTTTTGCATGTTTCCCGTTTATGAAGTGATGCTGTGCTGGACTAAGTCTATCTTTCTCCTCTTTCCCACTTCACTTCAGGTCTCTCAGCCAGGGCAGTACAAATGCAGCAGTGCTAGATGTTGCACAAACAGGGGGACACAAAAAGCGGGTACGTCGCAGCTCCTTTCTCAATGCCAAAAAACTGTATGAAGATGCTCAAATGGCACGAAAAGTGAAGCAGTACCTCTCTAACTTGGACCTGGAAATGGATGAAGAGAGCCTCCAGACACTGTCTCTGCAGTGTGAGCCAGCCACCAACACATGTGAGCTTTTTCATTAAATAAGCATTATACATAGCCGCTTATATCTGCATGTAACTTAACTTCTGGGCTATATCTTCCTGTCACTTTCATATCTGTTCTCTGAGCTCTGTTATGTGGAATGGTCAGCAAAGATTTTATAATTAAAAACAATATGTGTTTTAAAGGAATTAAAGTTCTCTCCCTCCCTTTGCCTCTTTAAATAGGTAGGGATACCGCAATCATTGTATCTTAGCTCCTTTTAATTAAAATGAGGAGTTTTGAACCTTTCACTTAAAGACTGCTGAAATAGAAGTTAATTCCTTGTTTCTTCCATTTATTACAAAGTACCGAAGAATCCAGGGGACAAACGGTCTGGGAAACAGGAAACGTCACCAGTGGCACCTAGGGCAGGAATTCAGCAGAAGGTGCAGCAGCAGCATAAAATAAACCAAGCATTGCAGGTCCCTGCTGTGTCCCTCTATCCCTCTCGCAAGAAAGTACCAGTCAAAGACCTCCCACCATTTGGTAAGTGAAATGAGTGGGCGGGTGTGTTTTGTTAAAAACGTTTAAATGTTTTTGTATAGTTCAAGCAGGTGTATTTTTGAACTGGTGAAATATTGTAACATTTAGTTCAAGTTAGTGCTCTCAATTATCCCTCTGTCAGTTTAGACAGCATATATAAATCCTCCTCCTAGCAGATAAACAGGAGAAAACTACTCCTAGTAAAGGGGTCTGGCTGGCTTATCCTTTTCAGTTGTAGACTTGTTTCCATCTGGTGATAATTGCTCTCCTGGCTGGTGCACTAGACCCTTGGGCTTAAATTTTCAAGTCACTAATGATTTTGCTTGTCTCCATTTTTGAGTGATCAATCTGAGAGACCATAAAGGGGCCTGATTTTCAAAAGTGTTTGAGCATCTGCCCTCCAAAAATCAGGCCTGTTCAAGGTATGTCAAGTTGAGTACCCCCAGTCATTAATCACTTTTCAAAATGTGGGCTGTAGCTTTTAACTTTTTCATTTGACACTTGCCCTTCACCACCACATTCCCCCAAATCTTTTTCTATTGCAGTGCTAAAGTTCCACTGTTTGGGATGCCACAAATTGAAACAGGAGACTGGTAATATCTTATAAATAATTCGATTTCTCCAAGTCTCTCTCTGGCAGCTAAAGTAGCTCATCCTGTTGCAGTGTTATGAAGTAGTCTGAAATTTTTCATATCTAATTTGAATTAAAAACATATTCTCAAATTTGTTTCTAAGCAGGATACGCTAGCTATCCCCTTTATACAGGGAGTGATTTTCCAGAAACGTTGCTCTATTCTGTCTCCACCTGCTATTAGGGTCTCTCACACCTATTGTTTAGGCTACAAAAGAGGGATTTAAAAAAATGAACACCAAATGAACAAGAAATAATGTAGTATTAGTCTAGTTCTGTAGATTCTGCTGTCTAGAGGATCAAATAAACTGTGTTAAGCAAATAATTCTGGATTATTGATTGCAACACTGCAGTCCTCTAGATCAAATGCAAATTCTGTAGCATGCTTGAAAAAATAACTCCACCCCTGAAATTTGCAGAGCTGTCACATGTAGATCAGTCTGCACTTTTAATCAGCAAACTTGATGCCTGTTTCAAGAGAGCAGTTCTTCAATCTTTGCTCTCTAGGTCTTCTCTAGGAGTTGTTACTGCTAATCTCCCAAAGTATAGGGTTTGTGCAGAGACAGTTCTCAAAGGAGAAAGGAAGAAAGCCAACTCTAGGAATATATTGCCCCACCAGATGTTCACTTGCCCAACCTTCCGCATCACTTTCTTTGGTGATATTCTAAGCTATTTTGAATAGCCGAAGCAACTGAAGAGTAGCTGAGGTCCTTTTATGTAATCTTTCAATAAACATTGGAATCTCTGAGGGATTGTGTACAGCTCCACCATTTGCTAGTTTTGATCTCCCAGTACTCATCACACGCATCTCCCAGGTGATAGATCTGCAGAAAAAATATTCTGGAACACGAGTTACAGGAGATCTTTTCGATGAACAGGTGGAAACCCAGACACAGCAATATTTTGCTAGTAGATGTGAATTGGAATCTGAAACAGAGTAGTCCAATTTCATTGTCAAAGCTGAGAAAAATGAACAGCATATTGTAAACAGAAATGAACAGCATATTGTAAATAGAGAGGAGTAAATTATTTTTTTTATTTTAGATTATTAAAAGTGGTATTAGAGAGATGAGGTGGGTAAGGTAAAAAAAATTTTATTGGACCAACTTCTGTTGGTGAGAGAAACAAGCTTTTGAGCTACACAGAGCTCTTCTTCAGGTCTGGGAAACTTAGGCTATGTCTACACTAGAGACCTTACAGCAGCACAGCTGTACTGCTGCAAGATCTATGTATCCACTCTATGCCCATGGGAGAGAGGTCTCCCATCAGCATAATTAAACCACTCCCAACAAGCGGCGGTAGCTACATCATCGGGAAAGCGTCTCCCACCAACATAGCGCTGTCCACACCGATGCTTATGTCATTGTAACTTACGTTGGACAGGAGTGTGTTTTTGCACATCCCTGAGTGACATAAGTTTTACTGACAAAAGTGCTAGTGTAATAGCTGAATAAAAGGTGGAGCAGATCATTTAGCATAAGTAGTTAACACATGTTTCAAGGGAACATTCAAGGTGAAGTGGCCTGTTGACACCCTTCAAGTGATAGGGAGGAAAGGAAAGCAGGGAGGGGCTGGGAGGGGAGCAGCTGGAAGGGTTGTTAGTGGGTTGTAGATAGTTGTAATAAGCCATAAATCCAGTGTCTCTATTCAGTCCATGATTTTTAGTGTCTAGTGAAGTTATGAATTTAAGCTCCCAGGCTCATCTTTTGAAAGTGCTGTGCTGGTTTTCTGTGAGGATGAGAACTGATAGGTCAGATATAGAGTGATTGCTTTGGTAAAAGTGTTCACTCAAAGTGGTATTAGTAACTCAAGGAAGATAAATATTTTATCTTTACAGTGTCCCTATAATGCATCGTAAAATTAACAAGTGTATATATTTCCAGCTTAATACTTTCTTTCTTGGTTGCTTGCTTTCTTTCTTAAAGGCATTAACTCCCCACAAGCTTTAAAGAAAATTCTTTCATTGTCTGAAGAAGGAAGTTTGGACCGTCACAAGAAACAAGCTGAAGACACAATATCAAATGCATCTTCACAGTTGTCTTCTCCTCCCACATCACCACAGACCTCTCCAAGGAAAGGTATAAGATGTGCAACACTTTCCAGTCCTTTTCCTGAAACCTGCAGGCTTTAGAAATAACTGTGAGGGGATCTTGGAGACTAATGGCTTGTCTAGATGAACAATTAGTGCACAGCAAGCTGGGATGTAAATTTACAGCACACTAACTGTTCATGTGGACTCTGCTACCAAACTAAAAGTTCACTAGTGCACACTGATCTACTTGCGTCTCAAAGCAGAATAAGTCAAAATGCCCTTTCAGTGTGTGGTAGCATGGTCCACACGGACATTTAGTGCACAGCAGACTAGTGCAATGTAGATTTACACCACAGTTTGCTGCACGCTACCTGTGTGTCTAGATAAGCCCTAAGGGTGACATCTTTTCCTACTTATGCTGCCATATGAGGATTGGCAGGGGAGTGGAGTAGTGGTGCCCAAGTGGATGCCTCAGGAGCCATCCTGTTAGCAAAACGCAGGAAGATGGGTTTCGAGTATCCTGGAGCCATCACACTAAGCAACTCTCCTTACTGCTACTTCAGAGAAAAACATGTCTCCTTCAGTTGCCTTCTACCAAAGGCAGCATACATGGGCAGAAGTTCAGAGCTCATAGTGGCACCTTGGAGCATCACTGGGTATAATAACCAAGCCCTCTGCTGATTTCTAAAGGAATTACTAGGTTAAAATCATGCCTGCCTGCTGTGCAGTTGTGCTGGATGGAGAGGGACCCATGCAAGACAGCAGGATTTTCCATAGAGTGTTAAAGGCTCAGATCACTAAAGCATTACATTTCCTTTATGCAAACACCTTAGTCATCCCGAGAATCAAGGTGGAAGTTTGACACATGGCTTTGCACAATGAGGCTTTGTTGGCTGAGTTAGTTTCTATGAAATTATTTAAAATTATCTTAAAATATACTGGTTGAGATTACTGTCCAGTGTGACTGGCCAAAACTGCAAATGAGTTTAAACAAGATGATTTAAGACTCCTGATGAATTTCTGTCCTGTTTCCTTTTTCATTGTACTGGCTCTGGTTGTTAATTAAGAGAAAAAAGATCAAGTGCAGGCACTTGCCTTTCTTGTATTAAAAAAAAAAAAAAAAATTGTCACTATAGAAATGGAATAACATATTCCTATAGCAGGTAACCTCAAGGTCATTTTCTCCTCCTATCCTTTTCAGAATAACATAGAAATCAATTTTAATGGCTGCATGAGAGAAAGTTGTATTAAAAAATCTGTGTCAGAGTTGAGCCCCACACAGTAAGAGCTCAGACTTGTGATAGAGCTTGAACAGTTCTAGATTTCACTGTAGAAATAACTCCCACCAAATTGCACTGTGATGCTGAGAAATTGAAACTTGTGTGCATTTCATCTGGGTATCACTCTCTCCTGTGTCTGTCAAATGGATATCTAAACTCTTTTCTCATCCTGTTGTTAGGTGGCAGTGGCAATCAGCTGAGATATTATGGCTCCAGACAGTCGGATCTAACCAGTTCCTCCTCTTCTCTCGGAAGTGAGAACAGTAACAAGAATAACAATGCACCACGGACCTGTAGGATAGGTGGGGTTTACAAAACCAAAAGGGAAAAGATCACACGCACAATTGGCTAATGTTTTTAAAAGGGATGAGGGGTCTGTCCTTCAGAAGTACAAATACATATCCAAAAGCACTGCTGAAGTGAGCTTTTCTAAGGCTACGTCTTCACTACCCGCCGATCCGGCGGGTAGCAATCGGTTTATCGGGGATCGACTTACCGCGTCTCTTGAGGACGCGGTAAAATCGATCCCTGATCGCTCTGCCGTCGACTCCGGAAATCCACCTCGACAAGAGGCGGCAGCGGAGTCGGCGGCAGCGCGGCAGCGGTCGGCTTTCCCCCGTCCTCACCACCAGGTAAGCCGACCTAAAATACGCAACTTCAGCTACGGTATTCACGTAGCTGAAGTTGCGTATCTTAGGTCGGAACCCCGCTGTAGTGTAGACCTAGCCTATGGGTGAGATAGAGGAGGATCTTATGCAGAAAATCCTTTGATAATCAGCTCAAGTCTTTGTAAGATCTCAGCATAATTTTATCTCGTGTGAATTTATATGAATTTGATCACATTCTATCAAGGCCAGTGCATTTATTGAAAAAGGAATCGGGATCAGATAAATGGAGAGGAAGTGTAGTACTGTGTATTTGGTAAAGCAATCCGTGAAAATGGTTCTAAATTTCAAAGCATTTCCAAGATTTAGTGGCACCATGAACTAACGTGTTTTCTCTCTTAACTTTAATCAGATTTGGCAGTGTTAGGGACAGATCCTCAGCTAGTATGAACTGTGTAGCTCCACTGAAATCTCTTGGAAGTTTAATGGTGATTTTCAAACTAAAAATTAAAATTGCATGCTTACATACAAAAGTATGTTGTTGAATGGCATCTAACCTATCTTTTTAATTCTTTTTGTACAGCACCTTGCACAATAACTAGGGATCCTGGTCATTACAGTAATACAAATATTTTGTAATAAAAATAATAGCTGATAGGGCATTCATCACAAAATTACATTTTAATAATTTACCTTCCTTAAAGAACTGCTTTTAGGATAAACTTTCTAAGACTATGTGTACACTACCACTTATGTCGGTATAACTTATGTCACTCAGGGATGTGAGTAAGCCACCCTTTTGAGCAACATAAGTTACATTGACCTAAGCGCTGGTGTGGACAGCACTATGTCGGTGGGAGAGCTTCTCCTGCCAACATAACTACAGCCGCTTGTTGGGGGTGGATTAATTAAGTCAATGGGAGAGCTCTCTGCCGTCAGCTTTAGATCATCTGTACAAGAGAGCTTGCATCAGTGCAACTGCACCGCTGAAAGATGTCTAGTGTAGCCATAGCCTAGAAAATGTTAATTACCTGAAAACAAAGGATTAGATGGCCAGCTCAGGTTTAGCTGACAAATTTCACATGCAGTGCTATAATCAAGGCCCATATTTGCAAGGTGATCAATCATCTACATGCAAAGTGTGAATTGTCTGCTGTGTTCTATGCTATCATGCAAACGGCCCCAGTGCCGAAGTATTCTTGACTCTGTTCAAAATGGAAACAAAATGAGGGAGCATGCTAAAGTAAATGATTTTGTGTTGGAGGCAATGACTCTTGTAGCCCCTCACATAAGTGGAACATACATTGGAAACCTGTTTGGATTAGATAGACAGTGAAGGTCAGATGAATGGTACATAGGAATGTAGGAATTGCCATACTATCAGGCCTAACGTCCATGTGATCCAGTATACTGTCAGTGGCCAGTACCAGAAGCATCAGAGGAACCTTTAAGAAATCAGCAGTGAAATGAAATAATCTGCTCCCCCACATAGGTTTCATCCTGATCTCTGTTAGAGATTGGTTTAAACCCTGAAGTATGAGACTTAATATCCCATCCAAAATTTCTGTTATCATTAATTATTGTAACTGGATATTCTGTTATACAAGAAATGTCAAATCCCTTTTTAATTCTTGCTACTTTCTTGGCCTCAGTTACTTCCTGTGAGAATGAGTTCCACACGTGAGTTCCACACTGTGTGAAAAAGTATTTCCTATTATCAGTTTTGAATTTTCCACTGTTTAGTTTTTCCAAACGTTGTCAAATGCTTAATTTCATTGCGATATGAGACAGAGAGCGGAAGTTCTTAATTTGCCTTCTCTATACTGTACACATATACATTGGAATTGGAACTGCAGAATTAGGCGTTCAACAATTGTTTACCTTCTGTCATCAAACAACAGAAATCCCCAATAACATTTTTAAATGGTGGTGTTTCCCAAACACTTGCTTTGTTTTGACTTCTTTTGTCCAAAAGAAATACAGGCAGTGGTGAAGAAAGTAAACCAAATGTTAGAAGGGGACCAAGAGATGGGATGGAGAAAAAGGAAAATACTTTAATGACATTATCTAACTCAGTGTAAAATCCTCATTTAAAATAGTGTGTTTAGTTCTGGTCACCCCACCTCCAAAAAGGTTTTGGAAGAATTAAGGAAGGGGGTTTAGAGCAGTGGCTCTCAAACAAATTACTGGTGACCCCTTTCACATAGCAAGCCTCTGAGTGCAACCCCCCTTTATATAAAAAAGTGTTTTTAATTTATATTTAACACCATTATAAATGCTGGCAGCAAAGCAGGGGTTTGGGGTGGAGGTTGACAGCTTGCGACCCCCCATGTAATAACCTCACGACCCCCTGAGGGGTCCCAACCCCCAGTTTGAGAACCCTTGGTAAGGTGAGGGGAATGATTAAGAGAATGGAAAAACTCTCATATGAAGAGAGATTGAAAAGATTAGGATTGGTTACCTGACAAAGGAGATGAATAAGAAGGGATAGGATAAAAAATAACTTTTATAAGAGAGGGTAGATCAGGATCTTCTGTTCACCTTGTTTCATAATATGAACTTGAAAGCTGGTAAATTCAAAACTGGTAAAAGGAAATAATTTTTCACAACTAGCTTGTGGAATGTGTTACAGGTATAACTGAGGCCAAAAACATAGCAGAATTGAAAAAAGGTAAGATATTTATATAGATAACATGTATGTCTAGAGTTGTTCTAGCAAATACTTAAAGGTTTGGAAGGAATATAATTCCTCATACTTCAGGACTAAAGGCAAATGTTAACTATTGGGGGTTAGAAGGAAACTTTCTCTAGGGACAGAGGGTAACACTGAAAGGTATTTTGTACCTTTCCCTGCGTGGCTCACTGTTGAAAACAGGATCCTGCATACATAGGCCACTGGCCTCATCCATCATGGCAGTTCTTATGTTCCAAGCCCCCCATAGTCTGTGTTAACATACATAGACATAAACAATACTGCAAGACTGGGTGTTATGTCCTACAAAGGGAAATGTTTTAATATAATTCTAGAGAGCCAAAAACACCAGGAAGTGATAAATTTGGCAATAGTTTTGTAAAGGAGATCAGACTTTTCTAAATACAAATATTTCATGTTGCCACGTACCTTTAAACCTACATTCAGAAATAAAACAGCCACATTTGAATGATGGTCTTGTTGCATATTTTTGTTGCATACAGTACTGCTCTTCTTGATAATTATATTTGCTCCAATAGTACTGATATTGAATATCTATGCTAATGCTTGAACTTTTCTTTAAGAAGTCTTTTGGTTGTAAATTTAGAATGTCTATTTAATGTTATTCTGATCCTTATGCAGGTTATACTTTGGCTCCTAGTGGCACCGTGGATAACTTTTCAGATTCTGGTCACAGCGAAATTTCTTCCAGATCTAGTATTGTCAGCAATTCTTCATTTGACTCCATGCCAGTGTCACTGCATGATGAGAGGAGACAGAGGCATTCTGTCAGCATTGTGGAGACTAATCTTGGTGTGGGTAGAATTGATAGAAGAGCCATGATTGAACCAGATCAATACAGCTTAGGGTAGGAATTGTATATATTTACGTTTTTTAAAAAACTCTCTTCTGCATCTGTTGTAGAAATTTCCTCCCTTCTGTGAGAGAATTCCACTCTCTCCTTCCAGGTCACCACTTCTATATTACCTCTGTTTTTATAATACTTTACATTCAGATGAGAAAATATCCCACATTGTTCTAATGTCTACAGCAGTGCCAGTAACTACGTGCACCTGCTCTTCGCCTTTAGAGCATTTATAAATGCTACAGGTGATCCTCACTCCTGTGGCAGGTTAGTGTTGTGACAGGAAGTGTTTTAAGTACAGTATTATCCTTATTTTACACATGGGGGGAACCTTTCAACTGAATCCCAAAGTATGTCACATTTTCATCAGTACCTTTTTAGTAACTGCTGAAGTGCTTTGTTGTCAAGGATAGCCTTACAAAAAGAATGCCCTGTACTCAAAATTGACCAAGTCATTAGTTAGTACCAATTACATTAAACTTTGGATATTGGAAAGCTATGCTGTAGATGATACTTGTATCCACTGTGTTTTTCATTAGCTATCAAATTCTCTTGGTCTGTAAAGCAATGAATGCTTCACAGTTCTGATTTGCTGATTATCACTTATGATACCACTGTAAAATTTCTCTTCCTTTCTTTCTATCTTTTACATCTAGTTCATATGCACCACTGTCAGAGAACAGAGGCCTGTATGCTGGAGCAACTGTGCTTTCTTCTCCCAGTACAGAAGAGCTATCACAGGATCAGGGGGATCGCGCTTCACTTGATGCCGCAGACAGTGGCCGTGGCAGCTGGACTTCTTGCTCAAGCGGTTCTCATGACAACATACAGACAATACAACACCAGAGAAGCTGGGAGACTCTTCCTTTTGGACATGTTCATTTCGATAGTTCAGGCGATGGGGCAGGATTATGGGCCTCAGGCAGTCATATGGACCAGATGATGTTCCCCGATCATGGCACAAAATATGGCAGGCAGAGTCAAGGTAGGGAGGGCCTTGATCAAGCACAGTCCAGAGCAAGCTGGGCATCCTCAACAGGCTACTGGGGAGAGGACTCAGAAGGTGATACAGGTACCATAAAGCGGCGGGGTGGGAAGGATGTTTCAATTGAAGCTGAAACCAGTAGCATAACATCTGTAACAGCAGAGGAGTCAAAGCCAGCTCCCATGTCCTCTCATATAACTATATCATCAAGTAGTGCAAAGGGGCTTATTGGTAAGTTATATTTTGTTTACCGCGAAGTATCCTGTTCATTTACATATAGATGTGAATTTACTATATAAGTATTTTGCTTTAATCTGATTTGTTTTTAAAGCAAAAAGCGCAGTCAATTTGTAGTTTCTCTCAAATTTTGCCCTTCAATTGTGTGTTTGCTGCTGAGAAAAGCATCACTTTGTAATGTAGATACTCATTCCTGAGTTATGTGGCCTCTTGTACTTCCTTCCCAAGTGCCATAAAATCAAGAATTCAACTCAACTGGTGGTGGTTGGTATTTTGAGATTCTAATGTATTTAGGTCACAATTTTCAAGCTTGGGTAACTGAAGTAAGGCACCGAAGTCTGTATGCAGGGATCTCATTAAATGTGACCTGATCCTCAGTGTTCTACTCTACAAGTTCCTGTGACTTCAGTGGTAGTTGTGGATGTTCATCACCTCTGAAAATTGGGTCACTCTTAGTGCCTAAATACAGATTTAGATGTCTAACTTCAGATACCCTCGTTTGAAGATGTCTGCCTTGGTGCCTAGGAAATCAAGGACCTGAAACACTAGGACAGACCTTTTGCTAAAGGAAGTGAGGTTACTTTTTAAAATATTTTTTGCTGTGTTGAATTTTTGTCCAGATATTTCCCGCTTTACCTATGCAAGATGGATTTGGCCAATCTGAGGCCACTGGTTTCTGTAACCATTTTATTCCCTCAAACCTCTCCCCCGTTTCAGTCTACCCTCATCCTGAAGGAACATATGGCACTGAGTGAGAACTATCTGGTCTGCCAGCATGACAATGTAGTTAGGGCATAATGGTAAACATCCTTTCCATTCAGAAACAAAGTATATTACTTAGCAATGGGCCCAGCCCCCAAAGTTTCATCTGCAGATCTGAATTTCCTCAAAGGATGAAGGAGAACAGATGTTTTGGTTGAGGCCTATCTCTAATACTGTAGTTTCCATTAGCATATGGAATGATAGGCTTGACAAATGTGCTTCCAGGCTCTGCTCTTGAGCAAGGCAGCAAACATCCCACCATGCCACTAGGAGGCCTATTTCTAAAAAAAATCTAGTTTATAAAGATTTCAGAAATATAAGAGAAGCCTGAAAGTTCCAGTCATTTCATTTCCATCCAATTCAGCATCAGTGGAGACTTGCTTCTGCATTATTATTATCCTTGCACAGCTCTTCCCCACAGAATCAGCATAATTAATCTTCCCATGGTCATATCAGTTTAACTCTATATTGGTCCTATGCAACTGATGAAGCGCTGTGATTGGGAACAGGAGCACTGATATAATCCTGGGGTGGAAGAAGTGAGTGGGGTCAAAGAGAAAGAAAAAGAGGAGACAAATGGGGGTAGAGTGAAGTGGGAACAACCTGCTAGTTTAGTGGCAGCACATCAGAGTTGATTTTGGGCACTAACAGGCAAGCGAGGAAAGAGGTTAAGAGAAAACAAAATGGTTTATGTTTTCAAGAGTGAGAAAAAAGAAGAGTAGGAGGGAAGGGAAGAGACAAACACATGAAATTGAAGGTAGGAATAAGCACAGAAAATTGGTAACAGAAGCCAGAGGAGAGAGTAGTGAATAGTTTAATGTTGGTGGAGAGAAAGTTATATTTGAGATTTTCGGATACCAATCTGTTTCAAAAACCCTTAAAACCTCTTTAAAATTTCTTCCACACTCCCTCCGCCTAGATTGCATTTGGAAAAGAGCCACTGTTCAAACACAGTTGTTCAATACAGTTGGCCTTATGTTAGAGATTAGTGCCTATGGTAGGACCATTTTTCTTCCTATTTATAATATCGTTAGGTCCCATCAGCACAAGTTACGTTAATAGATTCCTTATTTAACATGGTGAATTTCACACTATATAATTCTGAGGGAGCTTTTTCCATGAGATTCAGCACCCTCTCAACTACAAGAAAGAAAGAAACAGTTTTTATGAAGGTTTAACAGATCTGTTCTGTCACACTAGGTGAATGCATTGGCTACATGTTTATTAATATTTCTATGTTTAGTGTCAACACCATAATTTAAAAGATCATAATTAAGAGTCAAAGTGACCACCTTGGTGCCCTTGTGAAGTCTTTCTAAATGTAGACTCAAAAACACCATACTGTAGTAGTTCATACTCTGCTGCTGGTCTTCTCTGCCAGAGGACTAAAAGTTCTTTTTCAGTATACGTGCATTTTGTTTATCCTCTGTGTTGACAATTTGACCACTCCTGTACAAACTTATGATCCTGTCCTTTCCTGAAGGAGTTAAACTATCTACAGACATTAGGAAATTGACCAATAGTATCCTGGGACCAACACTGATACAACACTGCAAACAATAATTAGTCATCATTTTTTAAAAGTTTAATGGTAGAAGTGTGTTTCAGGGAGGAATTTGAAGGATAGAATTAATTCAGTAAATGACACAAAATCAGTGGAAGACCCTAAATGGGAAATGCAGATTTTTCCCATTGTTGATTTTTCTTGTCCCATGTCATGACTGATTAGAAAGGATTTTCTTGAGATTTTAATTAATATGCACCTAACGAAAACTGTTACTCTAAAGAGATTTTAAGACTCTCCGAACTCCCTGACTAGAGTTTTCATGTCTATAGGTTTTTTAACCTCTGAAATTTTTTTCAATTTCTTAATTTCCCAGTTTTTAAACTACTTGTCGCAGTATTTGATTTGCATTTCTAACACCTGTGGGGCAGATATAGCAACTTCTGCAGCCTGAAAGACATGTTAATAAGAAGCTAGCATAAAACTGAATAAGCAGAGGGAATTTTTCCAAACTCAAGCACTTTGGTTCACAACTGAATATCTGCCATTGCTCCTTCATCTGGGGAGTCTACATATTTTTTAAATGAGATGATGGGACTTGAGTTGTTTGAATTTGTGAGTGCTACCTTTTTTTCTTGACTGGCAGTATTTTAAAGCTTCAGAGTATAGTATATCAGGTCCTGACCTGCAGAGACCTATGTGCTTTATTTCATGAGCAGTCCCGTTGACTTCAATGGGTAATTGTATTGACTTATATAAGTTCTTGCAGATTCAGGGTTTTAGTGGAGACGTCACTTAATTTGCGTAATTCTACTGCATGTGCAGTTTAATGGACAGTAAGATATTTTGTCCTGTACTAAAAGTTAGAGGCTTAGCCAAGTATAACCATTGCCTGCATGATGGAAACACAGTCATGCTGTACATACTGTCTTTTACCAAAAGTGTTTCTTACATGATTTCTGTTTTTAAGGTGATATAATGTTGATACTTGTATAATATTTAAATCTTAACCTGTTTGTATTTGGATCAGATCTCGATTTGGTTGATATATATATTTATTTATTTATTTATTTCTCATTGCTCAAATTGTGTTTTGAACATATTTTCACAAGTTACTGTCTCTTATGGTAGTGTATTATTTTTCTGCAGCACGAAAAGAAGGTCGATATCGAGAACCACCTCCAACTCCCCCTGGTTATGTAGGAATACCTATTGCAGACTTTGCTGAAGGAGTTTCCCAGCCAACTAGAAAACCTCCGGATTACAACGTAGCACTTCAGAGGTCTAGGATGGTAGCACGGACATGTGAGACCCATGGGACTTCAACTTTGCAGCAGCAATCACAAGGTCACTCAGCTAGCAGGCCTGTGAACAAACCTCAGTGGCACAAACCAAACGAGTCAGACCCACGTCTTGCTCACTATCAGACTCAAGGGTTTTCCACAGAGGAGGATGGTAAATTTCTAATGTTTTCAAAACATTAATTAAGGGCTAGATTTAAACAGTCCATTAGCACTTTCACACGCATTGGAAATTCTGGCTCTAAATGTAATTGTTTTTCCACCTATAAATTTTTTTTTTAAGTTTTTTTTTACCTTTTTGTTTCTAACTTTACTGTTTTATGCCAGAGAGTCCAATTTATTTCAAAAATGTTGTTAGAAGTTTTGTGCAGTCTTTATTCAGTTGACCTCTGTAGCTGAGGATACCAAGGAAATATTTCAAGCTTCATTAATTTTTTTTTTTACAAATTTTCATGTGACTGAGAGATTTATGAATTTGCCCACAGACGTTTTGACATTTCCACCAGTGAACACTTGTTATAAGCCATTTCGGCCTCAGAAGTTTTAATTTAAATAAAAGCATTTGAAAATGAAGTGGTTTGTGGACATCTACAACCAGGGCCAACCACAAGATACCTCACTAAGCTATTAGAGATTTAGTAGTCTCTGGTTGAATGTTGTGTTTTCCAAGAGGAGGGAAAGCCAAGCCCACCCAGATACGGTGCTTCTATGTCTTATTTTCTTTGGAAATACACTTCCAAAGAAATACACTCTTGATGATTCTATAGTTAAAACTGGCTTGCTTCATTTAAAATAACAAAGCATGCTCTGAATTTATGATTTTGAGATTATTTTACCTTAAGGGAAAAGGGAGGGAAAAATAATAACCTGTAGCAAATAAATATATGCTTAATTTTTACAGAGGAATGGAATATGTGTGAACACAGCAAATTTATTTCATTCAATAGCAATCTAGTTTTAAACTGATTAAAATTTATTTTCCCCCCATCCTATTGTTTGCAGAAGATGAACAAGTCTCTGCCGTCTAAGAATTGGGGCTTTTCTGGATCCAGAGAGAGCCACCTTAAAGGAGAGCACAAGAAGACGTCCCTAGTATAGGAGCCTTGGAACTATAATTAAAGGATGGTAGACCTATTTGCCGCCTTCCCTGCCTTAAAGCAGCATGGGGCTTCTTCTCCCCCGTTCCTCCCCCCTTTTCCCTTGCATGTGAAATACTGTGAAGAAATCGCCCTGGCACTTTTCAAACTGTGTTGCTTGAAATGCACAGTGCAGCAATCTCCAAGCTACCACTGTCGCTGTCTGCCACATCACACAGTATCATTCCAAATTTCAAGATCATCACATCAAGATGATTAACTCTGGCTGCATTTCCCAATGCCTGGAAGGGTTTCGAAATCTTCCTTTTAGATTTTAATCACAATCCTAACACTTCATCTCATTGGGATAATGAGATACGCTAGTTGTCAAACGACATTGAGCCTTTAACGTACAAAGAGAAAAACACATTGAAATCCTTCAAGTATACAATGCTTGTTTGCTTGTTTACAATGCCTTTGTTACAGTGCTGTATGTTGTTGTGTTCAGAAAGCAAATGTTACACCTGCATAATAATTACAGTATTATTTCATACTTTTTAGTAGGGTTGCCAGCCTGGGCTCCTAAAAACAAAACTGATATGGCTGAGCAGGGCAGAATGGAAGGCAGGAAGGGTTATAGGATACAGCCTTTCATTGACCACCTAGCTCCACTCTTAAAGTGCCCCACCCTGGAGTCTTAGAAAGTTTGTAAATCATAGGATAGTATTTTGAAATGGGTCTAGCATCAATGCAGAACTAAGTGCTTGCAACTATCTAATGGAGGAAAACAGGACAACTTGTATAGTTTGTACCATACAATTTGTATACCTGTGCCTTGTGGAATACAGGATGGCATAGTTTAAAAAAAAAAAAAAAAAAGTCTTATTCAAATGAGACAGATGGTAAACCCCACCTTTAAATTATATTTTTATCTTACTATTGTTAGAAGGTTAGTTATTTTAAGAGAAAAATTAACTGGATAACATTGCAGTGAAGGCAATTTGGGATGTCACAGCTAATGTCAGCTCTTATTTCTGATCGAATAATCTCTCTCTATTGACTTGGCATTAGGTAATAAACAAGCCTTTAAATTATGAAAAAACACATTTAGACACGCAAGCCTTTGCAATGCAGAAATAGTCACAACTGTTAATGGCTTTATGGAACACTGCATGTGTAGAAAAGGCCAATGTGTAGCAACCACCTGCTCACAGCTGCTATTAACCCTATAATGACTGAAATGATCCTTCCCCTCTATTTTTGTGTTGTTTTTGCACAGACTCCGGAAAAGTGAAGGCTGCCAATCCGAGTAGTACTCAAATGTGAGGAACTGCTGGTCTTGGATTTTTTTTCCATTGAACTCAGCTGATCATATTGATCAGTAGGTAAACGTAAATAGCTTCAACTTTAAAGATCAAATTGCAGTGTTTTTTCACTGTATCAAACAATGTCAGTGCTTTATTTAATTATTCTCTCTCCTGTAATCATGGCTTTTGTCTATTTGCTTATATATCACATTGTCAATTATGAATTTGTAATTTTACATGTAATATGCATTATTTGCCAGTTTTATTATATAGGCTATGGACCTCATGTGCATATAGAAAGTCAGAAACCTAGCTCTATCACAAGTTGCACAAATATTATATAAGCATTAAGTAATTGTAGACCATAGGACTGCTAATCTCAGTTCACTCTGTGATGTCAAGTGCAGAATGTACAATTAACTGGTGATTTCCTCATACTTTTGATACTACTTGTACCTGTATGTCTTTTAGAAAGACATTGGTGGAGTCTGTATCCCTTTTGTATTTTTAATACAATAATTGTACATATTGGTTATATTTTTGTTGAAAATGGTAGAAATGTACTATGTTTATGCTTCTACATCTGATTTGTATGAAGCTGAAAAATAAATAAATATAACATGAATGCAGTCCATATTGATTCTTACACATTTTACAGGTTCATCGTATTTGAGCAAATTCAATTTTGAAAATAATTTACTTCGCTGTACATGAATATTAAAGGAATACTATCAAGTAACAGGCACAAAATTGAAGTGAAGATTTTTTAAACCCACTGTATTGTTGCCAATAAATTAGTATGTCCATTACTAAACCAAAATGGCCAGCAGCGGCATTAGAGCAGCAAGGATTGTGCTGACATCGTTGCTGTTAATACACAGACAAGCAAGGTAAATAAGGAGGGTTGTGTTGGCTTAGGACTCAATAAGACTCAGGGGCAATGAATCCATATTTACAAAATTTGGGGTGGGGAGAAGTATGGAAAGATGTGTTACCTACTTAGAAACTATTGCATGTAATGAAAAGTACCCGAGAGTGTCCCTTTTAACAAAAGCCAGATGCTGTAATCTATATAATGTCACAAGTGTTTGTTCTTTTGTGGGTGTTGTGAACTCTAGCTACTTGTAATTGGGTACAGGAGATTGGTTTAAAACATCTTTTCTTAGCCTATCCATTAGTTATATTTGGCTTGTATTTAAAAAAAAAAAGGGCAAGTATTATTTCCAAATGAAAGTTACTGCTTTAGAGAAAAGAGCAAAAAACGGTTTGTTTGGATTTTTGCTATAACCCTTCATAATATGACCCTAAAAAACACCCCACACTCAAGCTCAAATAATATGTATAGTACCAGTTTTCATAAAAGAACACTGGACACGTAAGAGTCAAGTGATCATTGCAATTACTTTTCATCTCTGGAATATGTGCCACTTCAAGGCCCGGTAAATTTTAAGTAGGATTGGATTTTGGGGGGAGGTGGTATTTTTGTTGCTTTTTGCAGTAACTAATCCATGTTAATCTGTGCCTCATGCCTCTGGGTGAGTTTCAACAAGCCAGATCAGAGCTATCACACTAATAACTCTTCTTATGACATTAACAGAAATGGAATAAACATTTGTTTTACATTCAGTACTTTATAAATATTTCTCCTGCAAACATTGGTTCTTAGGGAATACTAATCATGACAGATTTTTTTGATTGACAGTGATTTTCCCCCAGTTGGTGTGGTGATGTGTGTGATTCACTTGCAAGTAAGTCATTTTGCTCCATGTTTGTCATACTGCTGTATTACACAGATCCACTGCCCTCTACTTTATGCCTTCCCTTTCTTCTATTCGGTGGCTCTAGGACAACCGTTAAGGAGAAACCATCACAAAAGAGTAATAGGTATGTAAATTTGACCTGCAACTGTTACTGAGTTCATTAGGGATTGCTTTTGGTTATAGCAATCAAGAAATCAATTGGTTCCAACAGAATCAGAAGCTCTGAAGTACAGCGAGTTCTTATAAAGGCAAGCTAATAATAAGCTGAATGTACTTTGTGGTATGTTTGTTTGCACAGAGCGTGGGTTGAAGTGGCAAGATAAACCATATTTCACTAGAGAGAAAAAAATTTAGATTGTAAGCTCTTTGAGGCAGGGAATATCTGGTGTATGTTTGTACAGTGCCTAGCACCGTGGGGCCCCAATTTTGATTTGGGACCCCCAGGGGCTACTGCGATACAAATAATAAATCTTCTTCTTTGAGTGTTGGTCCCTGTGTGTGTTTCACATGTGGATATGCAGGTGCCTGAGTCTGGAGATGCTTAGCAAGCAACGTCCACTGGCCCTTCCCATGTGCTGTTGTCCACTGGCCCTTCCCATGTGCTGTTGCTCCAGATCAGGGGCATAAGAGACAGTCCAGGCTGACACCTCGCCAGTTCCTTCTTGCCGCCACATGGTCCGAGTTGGAATCCTCTAGGTCCAGCTTCTTTCTTACCAGCCTGTAAATAGTTTTAACATTTAGCATAGTTAGTTTTATATAGTATAGCTTAGTTTTTTCCCCATCTGGGAGTCCCAGAGCCCTGACATTCAAGAATTGTCTCTCTTGCCCTTGATCCTTCTCTATGAGCGATGATCCACGACTGTCTGGGTGGGCGTGAGACACGATCAGCAAAGTGCAGCATTTGCCGCTCATTTCCCCCGCAAACACATGAAGCTCGTGACCTTTAGTTGAGGAAACACCTTAAGGAGAAGTGCACCTCTGAGCTTGGAAGAGGAGCTAGAGCTGCCAAGCCCAAAGAATTGTGTTCCAGGGCTTTGCGTGAGAGTAAGGGGCACTTTTGTAGATACAAGGGCAGCTCTTTTGGCTGAAATGCTTCATTGCTTTGTCTATGATGGTCACTGTGGTAGCGTCTGACAGTTCATTTAGTTCCTAGAAGTCTGAATAATGGTCTACAATAATGAGGTAGTTTTGTGTGGTTTTCTGCAGAAAGAACCATTTCTACTTTGCTGCAAGATCTGTTGGAGATGCTGTGCATTTTCATTGTCTCTTCTTGCTCCTTGGCCTGCATTTCCCAACATGTATCATAACTGCTCACCAAGTCTCAAATATCCCTGGCCAGTATATGGCATCTCTGGCTTTCTGGAGGCATGCTTCCATTCCATAATTGCTCTTAAGTATTCTTGAGAGTATTTCTGTTCTCGGTGATCTAGGTATTGTGATTCAACTTGCCTGTATATATTGATGCTAGCTTGAATACTCAGCTCATCTGAATAGTTCCAGTATTCTTGGAAGGTAAGTGGGGCTTCTCCACTGGTGTTTGGCCATCCTGACAAAATGATGGACATCCTCTGCTTTGAAACTGGAATATAATTGACTTGGCTCCTGCTTTTTATGTCTTCCTGTGTTTGTATTTCTACCAGGTTGAGGCTCTCATATTTTTGTTCAGTTGCTATATTTTCATGCTTCAAGGCTGCTCTGAATAAGAAGTCAGCTATGTACATCTCAGTCCTTTTCTTGTAGTGTACATTTAAGTTGTGTTGCAGTTTCAGAAGCATGTGCTGAAGGTATTTTGTGGCTGCTAGCAGTGATTTTTACAAAATGTTTTCTGTAGTTTGATTACTTCCTACTTGAATGGTCTTCCACCTTGAATGTACTCTTGGAATTTTTCACAAAAAAGACAGCGATTCTTTATTTGTGACCTACACACTTTGCAAAACCTGTCCTCCCTACTCCTCGTTCACCTCCTTATCTGACGTAAGCGCTCAGCCGGTGTGTAGGAGCAGGCCCTCAAGGACACGTCTGCAGAAGCAACACACAGAGTCAGTGTTGTGTGTGCACTCACGATCTTGAATCATAAAAGTTACATACATCTTTTTCTTATTTTCCCTTGGCAAGCATGCAGCACGGCCAGAGCACTAAACACACTGAGTTTGGCTGGGGAGTAGGGAGAAGATGCAATATGGGAGAAAGGGTCTGGATGGTTTCAGAGGGGGATCAGTACAAGTGCCTAGGGACACTATTCTAAATACTAGCACCGTTTTCCAGATGGGGTGCTTGAAGCTGAAATCACACTACTGAGGGTAACCGAAGATGTAAGGGTGCATCTCCTGCATGCGTGCGGCTTCAGCCTGGGTCCACATGCTGCTTGCCTTTGTGCTGCTTTGGTTCCCGCAGAAGTAATTGCCAATTTGCGCAGCAAAGTTTCCTACAACAGGAGAAGAAACAAAGCCGCTCTGCCAAGGAACCTTTGGCAGCAGATTGCAGCGTATCAGCAAGAATGTTTCCTCAAGAAAGTTGAGAGATCTCAGTGAAGGATTCCTGGGAGATCTCGGTGTGTATTAACAAACTTTTCTGCAGGGCTCCCACTGCATGGCTGCACAGGGGAATGAGAAGCAGATGCAAACAGTACCCAGTAGTATTCATTTCAATCTCTTCTCCTACATGCACCATGTAACAAAATAAAGGACACCTCTACCTCATGTAACTGTGCAGTATCAAAGCAAAATGAGTATTTACCAGAGCTTCCCTCTCCTGCTTCAGGCACGCCAGACCTGGACTGCTGGGACTGGCTAGACCTCTCCAGAGTCAAAAAGAGGTCCTGGCTCACCACGTCACCAGATGAGCCTGTCGCCTGTTCCACATCCTCCTCCAACTCAAGTGCCTTGTCCACCATTTGGTCCTTGGGCTTGCCTCCACTGGCCGCTGCCTCCAGTCCCCCCAGAGTATCCATGGGGCTCTTGGCAGTGGAGGTGGGGTCGTCGCCGAGGATGGTGTGCTGCTCCTTGTAGAAGTGGTGTGTTTTTGGTGCTGTACCAAGTGATGGTTGGCCTCCCTTGCCTTCTGGTACGCCTGCCTCTACTCCTTGATCTTAGCATGGCACTGCTGCGTGACCCTTCTCATCCATGCCACGAGCAATCTGCTCTAAAGTTTCAAAGTTCATACAACTGGATCAGAGTTTTTTGTTGTTGTTGTTGTTGTTTTTAAAAAGCAAGAACTGCCGTTTGAACTCCAACAGTGTGTGCACAGCATGGACAAAGAGGATGATGGCAGCACAACTAGCTCAGATGAATTCTTCATAGGAGCAGTGGACAATATTTGCAGCACAGGATGAATGGATTATCAACCTGAAAGCAAATGGCGTGTTTATTGATTTTTAAATTGGACATAGGTACACAAGCCAGTGTGGTGCCAGAAACTGGCAGTAAAAGAAAAGCCAGAGCCAGTAGAAGGTCAAATGGGTAAAACTTGGGGAGAGCTTATCCCCACTAAGGGAGGATGTGAACTAAATGTATGGATAGATAAATTGGAAACTATACAATTTATAATAGTAGCAGGGAAAAGAGTACCTGTTTGGTTAAAACTGTGTCAAGCTCTTCATTTGGAGGGCCTGGCGAACAAAACAATTGAGGAAGAGTTTAAAGAAACTTCCAGGGAGTAGGGAAGCTCTCAACAGAATAGAGCTAAAAGAGCCCAGCCGTTCAACAATTCATGACCCCAGAAATGTTCCCCTCGCACTGAAGCAGAGGCAAAAAGAGTAGCTGCATAGTCTCACTACTCTGGAGTCACAGTGAGTAGAAGAACTAACAAAGTGGGTACACTTGTTGGTCACTATAGAAAAGGAAAATGGAACCTTC